AGCAGGATGCTGAAGGTCAAGGAAGAGATATAATAATAATAATAATAATAATAATAATAATAATAATAATAATAATAATAATAATGTTTTAATTAGTTTTCCACTATTTCCCCAATAATAGCCAAATTATAACAATATCAATTATTTTCAAATTTATACAATTATTCAAATGCCAGAGACAGTTTTAAAAAGAAGGAACTTGACAGAGATGGATGGCGGTCAGGTTGAATCCTGACAAGACTTAAGTACTGTCTCGGGGGGGGCAGGTGGGGGGGAGTCCCTTGTCCTGAATGGGGTAACTGTGCCCCTGAAGCACCAGGGGCATAGCCCGGGAGTCATTTTGGACTCACAACTGTCCATGGAGCTGCAGGTCTAGGACAGCTGTCTACCAGCTCCATCTGGTATGCAGGCTTAGACCCTACCTGCCTGCCGACTGGCTTGCCAGAGTGGTACATGCCCTTGTTATCTCCCGCTTGGACTACTGCCATGCGCTTCACATGGGGCTACCTTTGAAGGTGATTCGAAAACTACCACTAATCCAGAATGCAGCAGCTAGACTGGTGACTGGGAGTGGCTGCCGGGACCATATAACACCAGTCCTAAAGGATCTTCACTGGCTCCCAGTACATTTCTGAGCACAATTCAAAGTGTTGGTGCTGACCTTTAAAGCCCTAAATGGCCTTGACCCTGTATATCTGAAGGAGCAGCTCCACTCCTGTTAAGTTGTGGGTGAACATATGAGTTGGTCAGTCACCGGCGAGGAGGCCCAGAAGCGGCTTGTGGTTGGTGATGAGGTCGAAAGTCCTGCTGTAGAGGTATTCATGGAACCTCTTCACTCCAGCCACAAGTGCCAGTGCCTCCTTGTCGAGCTGGCTGTGATTCCGTTCGGTTGGAGATAGTGTCCTGGAAACATAGGTGAGCGGTGCTTCTCTTCCGTCTGGAAAACGGTGACTGAGGACAGCGCCGATGCCAAAAGGTGAGGCATCGAAGGCAAGGACCAGTGGCCTGGCTTCACTGTACGGTATCAGCACACTGTCCGATGAAAGGAGAGCCTTGACTGCGTTGATGTGGCCCCTTCTGGAACACTTCCGACAGATGGCGTCTCTGAATCGACACTTGGCACGGGAATGGTTGCCTCTGCAGCCGGCACATTCCGATTGGCCCTTGGTCTTCTTTTTGAACTTCCCGTGCTCCCCTTTGTTTGGTGCACATCATCGTCTTCACTGGAGGATGCCTTGTCACTGCTGGCCTCTTCGTGATGCACTGGAACTGGCTTCCTAGCAAGACATGGGCTGCTGGCCTTGCGGATCTCCTGGGCAGCTTCCTCAGTGGCTTTCTTCAGTGTGAGGTCTGGCTTGGCGAGGAGACACCGTTGCAGACGGATGTCGCAGACCCTGCAGACGATTTGATCCATCAGGGCATCGTCTAAGTCTCGAACTCACAGTGCATTGCGGCCTGTCAGAGGGTGGCGGTGTAGTTGTTAATTGACTCCCCCTCTGCCTGGTTCTGGTGGTAGAACACATGGCGGTCAGCAATCTTGGACGGCTTTGGCGCGTAGTGGTTGCGGAGCTTCTCTTGAATTGTGTCCCATGGCGCTGCCTAGACTACTTGAGGCGCAACTAATGCTTGGGCCATCTCAAACACCTCAGACCCACAGAGGCTGAGGAATAGGCCCCGCTTACACTCCTCTGACACTTCTGTCAGCTCGTTGGCTTGGAGGTAGCAGTCAAACCGAGCGAGATAGGAGTCCCATGATTCAGAGGCTGGCGCAAACGGTGGTAGAGGCACGAGTGAAGCCATGGTTCCGATGCCAACGTGGAGGGCGATGGATGGAACACAGTGCTCTAGCCAGAACAGTCAGCTCTGAATTGTGATTTCGCTTGGTGTTTCAGCTCAGTGATTCAGCTCAGCTCAGAGGGTGGCCGCATCTGGCTGTGCTCTGATGTCCATCAATCCCATCCTCGTCGCCAGTGTTAAGTTGTGGGTGAACATATCAGACGACACAGCGATTCTTCAAACAGCTCTTGTTTATTCACAGGCCAGAACAGAACTGAACTGAAGGGTTCAGCTAGCCTGCTTATATAGAGCTCCACTACAACGCAACTGTAACACTTTCTGTAACTATTCAATCATTGAACGTCACTTTCAATCCCTTATTTGCATATGTGGACCTGAGTGAAAACTATCTACAGTATCCCCCTGCTGGCCCAGGGTGAGAACATCAGTACATGACAGGTACCCTCCCTGTGGAACACCCTCCCATCAGAAGTCAAGGAAATAAACAACTACCTGACTTTTAGAAGATATCTGAAGGCAGAGCAGAAGGTTTTTTTTATGTTTTATTGTGTTCTTATATCTGTTGGAAGCTGCCCAGAGCAGCTGGGGCAACCCAGTCTGATACACGGGGTCCACATAAAAAAGTTATAATTATTATCATTATTAGAGAGAAATGTAAACTGCTTAGAGGTGTTTTATGATGGTGCAGTGTAGAAACTTAACTAAACAAACAAACAAACAAACAAACAGAGAAATGTCGAGGAACAGGATTACAGCTAGGCAGCCCTATGTAAGCTGGGGAGTACATAACTGATCTTGTTCCCAATGCCACTTACGTTGTAAGAATTGGGCATGGTAACAGCTTGCCCTGCAATGAAATGCACCTGGCATGGCTGCAAATTTGCAAGAGCAATGACGCTCCATGGTATCCACTTTTGATAACACTTTTTTGTTCTCCCAAGTTGTTCTTTTTATTATTATGCATATGAGCCAATAAAATTGCACCACGTGCAAACTACGAGGAGGATGCATTTGCTGAGAACGGGGCGACAAGGAGAAGGAGGCAACAGAACACCTTGAGCTCCCCCCCGCCCCGCTTCTCTTTCCCCTTGTCAAGGTTGCTGAACTAAGCAACAGGACGGCATCACGCAGGCTTGGGGATTTGCCCAAGGCCAATTACTCTGGCAGGTGTTTGTGCGTGTTGAGTGGAAGCTGGGTGTTTCTTGAAAACCAGCCCATAGAGGGCAGCATAACCCAGCACTAAGCATCAAAAGCACTTTGTGCGCTGATGATGAAGATTCTCTAGCCCATATGGGGACTCCTGCACGACAAACTCCCAAAGAAGAAGGTGGATCCAAACAGCACACTTGCCTCTTTTCCATTTCTTTATAAAAGGCTCACACTGTGCAATTTTGTTTTCATATTTGGCCCTTTAAGTTATATCTCAGGGCTACTACCGTGAGAAGCATTTTTAAGTCTGCCAGGCATTGCACAGAGTTATAAATGGGAGGCCTTGAGGGTAGAGAAGCTGCGCAGACAGCTTCTACGATGCAGAGGGGATTGGTGCATTAGTGAGCCTCTGTGGTGGTTCTTAAGAAGGAAACCTCCACCTTCAGAGGCAGTTTACCTAAGACTGCTATGTGTTGAGGACAAACAGCAATGGCGTCTCTGTCTGACCTGCTTAGAGACAGGGTACTGGGTCTATTTTGACCTAAGCTGGCAAGCCAAGCCCTCTGCTACTGGTTCTTTCCCCGCCACTTGATGTGGATAATCACCCCAGGGGATTGTGAGATTGTAAAAGATAAAGGTAAAGGACCCCTGGACTGTTAAGTCTAGTCAAAGGCAACTATGGGGTTGCAGCGCTCATCTTGCGTTCAGGCCGAGGGAGCCGGCAATTGTCCACAGACAGATTTCTGGGTCGTGTGGCCAAACCACTTCTGGCGCAACAGAACCCCATGATGGAAACCAGAGTGCATGGGAATGCTGTTTACCTTCCTGCCAGAGCGGTACCTATGTATCTACTTGCACTTTGACGTGCTTTCGTACTGCTAGGTTGGCAGGAGCTGGGACAGAGCAACGGGAGCTCACCCCGTTGTGGGGATTCAAACCGCCAACCTGATCGGCAAGCCCAAGAGGCTCCGTGGTTTAGACCACAGCACCACCTGCATCCCTTGTGAGGGTGCACATTGTTAGGGAGCCAAAGCCTCTAGTCTTAACCCCGATCTCCTTCTTTCCTGCTCCTTTAAAAAACACCATATAGTGGTACCTCGGGTTAAGAACTTAATTTTTTTCTGGAGCTCTGTTCTTAACCTGAAACTGTTCTTAACCTGAGGTACCACTTTAGCTAATGGGGCCTCCTGCTGCTGCCGCCACACAATTTCTGTTCTCATCCTGAAGCAGAGTTCTTAACCCAGGTACTATTTCTGGGTTAGCGGAGTCTGTGACCTGAAGTGTCTATAACCTGAAACGTCTGTAACCCAAGGTACCACTGTAATTGTATTTGTTTCACTTTGGTTACAGGGTGTGTCCAGAGGCATGTATACATATAAATTAATGCATTCAAATTTCATGCCAGTTTGTGTTATGGGCCTTTTTAAAGTACCTCACGACACTTCTGAATCACCAAGCATTTGCAATTTGACCTTGTTGCTACCACATGCAAATCCAGCTGAGGTTTCAGTGAAATCTCATCTTGGGAGACCTTGGTGATATCTTTCCGGAAATCAGCACAGATGCTGGTGGCAGAAGGTCAGTGGGGGCAGGTGAGGTGCAACACCTTGGGAGCTTCTGCCACCCAAGGTGGCTCCTTCACCCCACCTCATGGTTGGGCTATGCCAGGCCTGCAGCTGAATCAAACAGACAGAAATCAGGCAGCAGGAAGTGGGTGAGTTCTTTTGAACTGCTTGTTAGGAATGCTGCAAACTAAAAACCCAACAATGGCATAAGCTGAGGCTGCCCTCTAAGGGCGAAAAGTCTTGAATGCACAGCACAGCGATGTCTCTTGCAACTTGCTTGTCAAAACTTTCTGTGCCTGGGGACCTATTTCCAAACCGAGGTCTTATCCATACCAACTTAAAAGCTGCCTTGTTTTTCATATATTTTGTGTGTGGATGAACCACATCACATTTCTATAAACTGGCTGATATGCTGGTTTTTGGGAAGGCAAAAATCCAGCTTCCTACTAGCAGGCAATAACACAGATCTGATTACATGGCAACTTGCCTGCCAGCATGTATTTGCCAAATCTTGGTTTTGTGGTTAGCCCACTTTCCCCTGTCTCCCAACCCTCTAAACCTCAACCTTCCTTTCCTCCTTTCTTTTGTTGTCGTTGTCACTGCTATTCATTTCCAGTTGCAACTTTCTCTCCTTTCTGGGCGGATTTACCTGGGAGGTAGTTTCTTTGCATTAACAGTGCTTACTTTTGAGTAGTAGGGCTTACCAGAGGTACAATTCTGATTGTTAAACCACTCTGAGAATTGTAGCTCTGTGAAGGAGAAAGGGGTCAAGCAGGTCAAAAACAAACAAACAGAAATTTTATTGGTTTTGAGACGGCAACATGTTCATTCCCCAAAACAGACAATATGTTTTTTTGCAGTACAAAAACACACCTGGGGGAAACCCAGAGCTTCTCGGTGTCCCTGCCAAAGAAAGTCCCCTGGCCCTATTTTATGTCATGGACTGTGAAGGCAGCTAAAGGACTCTTTTCAGTGAAAGTAGACTTCCAGGACATTGGCCTACAATTGACAGGAAACATGGAATGAAGGTGGGTCTAGTGGTCATGCGACCGCTTGGTACGGCAGCTGGAACATCCTGCCACATTGCAACGACATTTTTCTACCACCCACCCACCCAGAATCAAACATCTGGGGACAAATGGTGGCCACATCCACACTATGAGTTGAAAGCACCATGACACCACTTCAAACGGTTATGGCTCTCCCCCCCCCACCCAAAAAAGAAAAAAGAATTCTGGGAGCTGTAGTTTTTTAACGGCACAGAGTTATTAGGGGACCCCTGTTCCTCTCACAGAGCTGCACTTCCTAGAGAGGCTTAACCATCCCTCTTCACAGGGAACTCTAGAAATTGTTGCTCTGTGAGTTGAATAGAGGTTTTCTAACAATTCTCAGCACCTGCTTTAAATTTATGTTGTGAATGTGACCTGTTTCTGGGATCCCTCCTAGTGGCTGCCATCAGAACCAGAGTAGCCAATGCTGCCTGTCCTGACGTTGTTGAACTACAAGTTCCATCACTGGCTAAGCTGTTTGCGGCTGGTGGGAATTAAGAGTCTATCAACATCTGGAGTGCATTGTGTTGCCTACCTTTCCATTAGAGCAGTGTTTCCCGAACTTGGGTCTCCAGCCGCTTTTGGACTAAAATTCCCACCATCCCTAAGGATGGTGGGAGTTGTAATGCAAAAACTGCTGGAGAGCCAAGTTTGGGAAACTCTGCATTAGAAGGATGAAACAACTCCACTTCCATTCTTCAACTGAGATGACTTAGGGCAAAGGAAGAGTGTTCTTGCTCCCCCACCCTGGGCCCAAAGAGGCTGTTATCTTTCAGAGCATAGGCCAGGGCTGAAGAATTGGTGTCCTCTAGATATTATGGGGAACCTGTAGCTCTCTGGCATGGGCAGTGGCTGGGGATGATGGGAATTGCTGTCTAGCAACATCTGGAGAGCTGGACATTCCCCCTCCCAGGTGTTCAGTGGGACAAGGCTATGGACATCTTGCTGTATCCCATTATAGAACCACAGAACTGTAGAGTTGGAAGGGACAACAAGGATCATCTAGTCCAACCCCCTGCAATGCAGGAATCTTTTGCCCAACCAAAGGTTTGGACCCATGAGATTAAGAGCCTCAGGCTCTACCAGTTGAGTTATCTTCTAACAACAACAACATTCTGAAATAATATATATATATTTAAAGCCACTTTTCTCTTTTGGAAGGAAACAAATTCGATGCCATAAAACTTATAGCAGGAGCTTCAGGGAAAGTTCCTTTGTAACTCAGGTTGCCTGAGGGTTTAAAGAATGGCATTTTTGAAGAAAACTAGAAAACAACTGCTGACTCACTTGTGCGACATCCTTAAGAAAAATGACCCTCTCCAGAGACACTCACAAATTAGAGATTCAGGAGAGAATGGGGATAAAGATGAATGAAAGGAAGAGCCTCTTGAGAAGATTGCAGCCATTACCAGCTCAATACAAGATCAGGCAGAACAGAAGCATCGTGAAAGTCAGGTCCGTGGGCTGGCCAGCCAGCCACTCTGGGCTTTCTGAGACTAACTAAGGCCACAAAGCACAGAATATGGCACTAGGCACAGGACCCAGCTTCTGAAGTGTTGCATTTGAAAAACAAACTCCAAACACCAAGCTGCTAGCCTATATTGCTGGGACTGTAACAATATGCTTAAAGGTGTGGCAGAAACACCAGCTGAAATCCCCCAAAGCCAAAGAGTTGGCTGGATCTTTAGCAACTGCATGAGGGGTGGAGAGACCTGGCTTATCCATCAAGAAAAACTGATCATCATCATGATTATTTTGCAAGAGGATAAAAACAATAAATTGTGCAAAATAAAATAAAAAGCGCACATCACTCAGGTTTCTGTGGTGCCAAATTTGGAATGCCTGGATGCAGAAATACAGATATAGATCTGATGTATCATACACATAGTTCCAGGAACAGGAATACAGAAACAATAGCTAATTGTCAAAAAACTAATCTATTTGGGATTACATCCCACTGACTTCAACAATGCTTTCTTCTAGGTAAGGCACTTGTGTGATACTGAATCACCTTCGAGCATTATGGAAGTGTATTCCTATCACAAAGCCTGTTAGGATGGGCAAGGCTGCTGCCCTTACGTTTTCAGTGGAGGATTAAGACTCCGGGGAGGATTTCTGCAGGGTCATTACAGGAATGGATCATGATGGGTTAGGGAATGGAGCCCACTCCTAGCAAGATCTATGTTACAGCCTCCCCTGGGAAAAGGGACTAAACTCTGGAACTTCTTCCAGCTCTCCCCATGCATAGCATGGACCAGTTTTAGCACCAGCTAAGGGGTCAGGAGACATGCTGTCTTCCTCACTATATCTAGCAACTGGGCAGGTCAATAGGGCAGTACATGTTAGCGACGAAGAACCTGCCTCCACGCTCCGTTGACTTGCTGTCCATTGATCTATCACAATATACAGTTCTCAGAATAAATAATATGGCTTCCATTATATATATAAAAAAAAACCCCGTTCACACAAACCCAAAAAACCCACTCTCTCTGCTGCACATGAGTGCCAATTGCCTCCCAACGGGCCACTTCACTCTGGTTTGTGTACGTAGGCATCCACAGTCGGGATTTCAATGTCTTTTTCCTTCTCTGTGTCAACCATGTTGCGGTATCTTTCTCCACGATTGCGCTCTAGGGCGGGACCCCAGTTGGGCTGGGGCTTGCAGCAGAAAGTAATGCGCTAGAAGGGGGAGAACCAGAAAGGGGGAATGAAGGCTCAGTCTAGAGGTGTCATCCTAGTAGCAGACACAAGAGGCCTGGCGCAATTCTCTGCTGCAAGGTGTGTAGGTGAAAGCCTCTGGTTTAGATAGCTCTTCCAAACAGATTAGGTCAGTAGTATGGAACCTCAGGTTTGTGGGGGAATGAATGTGGCTCCTCTCCCCAGGCCTTTCGATCTAGCCCCTGGGATTCTCCCCAGACCATGCCCCTTCTTCTCAGACCACATCCCTCACCACTCCTGCTCCATGCCCTTATGAGAAGTGTCCATAAGTTTCTAGTCCTTAACATTATGAAGAATGACTGGAAGGTACATGGCCTGTGTCAGTATGTGACACGAAAACTCAGGACCCCAAGGGACAGGAATCTGAGCAGCCGCCATGCAAGGGTTCAGAGGCACCATATTCCCAAGAACATTGAGGAGCTGACACAAAATCTGATGTCGCTCCACGTCTGGCTTCATGTTAGGCTTCAACAATTGGGGGAGGGGCCAGCTCCCTCAAAAAAGAAAAAGAAAAAGATTGGGGGGGGGGCAAAGAGCCTTGGGCCACCTGGAGCTGTTGCCTATGCAAGGTTTCTTGGCCAGCAAGTCTTTGCGGAAAGTAGAAAGCTTATAAACCAATGCTTTAGATTGCTTAGCAAAATTGTCCTAGCATTCATGGGAATTTCATATGCATTATTATTTGCTATTGTTTCAGCTCTGGCTGAACTCAGTGCCTCTGGGCGCCTCCAGGCTGATGTTTTACTGTGGGTGTATTCTGCAACATTTTCTTAACATAACAAAAGTGCAGTAATAGCTGGTTTTATCTGCTTTAGTTTGGTCTGTGAAGTTTCTCCAATGCTACCACATTATTGATGTCTGGAGGGGCTACAGCAGAACAAAAGCAGGGCACCCGCCTGCCAGAACATTTGTGGTATGAAAAGTTAAGGAATTTCAACCGGAAGTTACAGGGTATGCACTGATGGGAAATGAAGCTGCCCCAAAATCTTTACAGGCACAAACAGTATCAGGATTGCGTCTAACCACTTCAATAGTATTGTGATCACAAATCATCACGAATGCACAATTAAAGGACATCTGAAGGGACCCAGAGAAGGGCGACTATCCCATCAGAGCAGAGTTCATGATACCTCAAAGCACTCACCTGCCACAAGCTCCCTTTTGCTTTTGATATCTTGTAAATGGCAATGATGGGAATCCAAATCAGGCAGAACATGATCATGCACCAACCAACAGCAGCTCCCCAAACTGGGTATTCCACAGAGCCAAATGTTGGGCGCTCAAATGTGACCAAAGACCAAATCAAAATTGCCTGTTTGAAAAAAAGTTAGAGAAACAGGAGAGTCAAACTTAGACCAGCCAAGACTAAGCTGCATGTGCAGCATTGAACAAGATCTGAACAGACATGTTTTAGGCCCAGCTTTCAAGACTTGGTTTCCTAATTTCAAAATCTGGCCAAAAGGGAAAGCCAGGATCTGAGACTGAACCACAGCTGTAGAGATGGTGGCCCCTGGTAATGTCATGAGGTGGGCCTGGAGATGGACGCTAATTGGAAGAGGGGAGGAGAGGAGGGCAAACCCCCCCCCCCGAGTGTTTGTGCTATCATTTGCTGCCAATTCCTGCCAGACTGAAGCTTGCACTGTCTTCTTACTATATATATTTTTATTAAAGGCACTCTTGCTCACCTGGAGATTCAAACTCTCCACCTGACACCTGAAGAGGCACCAGGCAAACCTGGAGACTTCAGAGCAGACCTAGATGTCTGGCAACTGCACCAGGGAGAGAAGTTCACCTTGGCCTGTTTTCACACTGCATTTGAACATGGCTGAGCATGGCCCCATCCTTCACCTATTCATGCTTAATGTTTGCAGAGTGCCAAGGAGAGTCAATGTCATTGTCTTCAGTGGTGCAGCCAAGCCTAAAATCAATGTGGCTTGTTATCTTCTGTGCACCTAAGAACCATTCCAAGATAACGCATGGCCCCCCCAAGAGAGGCATCTCATGGTAGTGCTGGGGTGAGGGAAATATTTTGCTCCCTCTAGCCCAGGAGCTTATCCAGTCAGCCAGGATATTTCTGGGCAGCCTGCAAAAAGACTACAAAGGCCTCTAATATTATACGTCATGGCATTACAAGGAGTGGGAGCAAGTAGTATTAAGCTCCTCCCTGTGCTTCTGCTGGTGAGCCAGATTCTGCAGGATTTGGGTGTGCAAGGCAGTTTCCTGCAGGGGGCGGGGCGGACACCTCACACATCCAAAGCATTCCTAGATGTGCATGTGAGTTTAATCCTGCTTTCTGCAGGAATCAACCATGCGAGGTGCTGATCCAGCCATGTTGCCACCTGCCCAATACCTGACACCATGTATGATGTCAGCTGTGGAGATGAGGGACTTGGATTTGGGAAAATATGGGGAAGCTTGGCTGGAAAAAAATGACCCACGAGGTTCCCTGTAAGCCCAGCTCTACCTCCCCCCAGCCTCAGAGCTACTGAAATCTCTTGCTAAAAGTTGGCTACTTACGAGGAGGAGTAAAGGTGTGATGAAAAACCAGCAGGCTCTCCACCACAGCCAGAACAACCAGCTTTTCTTCCCAATCATCATCTCAGTGTCTTCGATAAATCGGTTTCCACCTGTGCAAAGGGGACACAAACCGCTGGGTTAGTTCTGTGTTTGTGAAGAGTCAGCTTTCTTTTACTCCCCTTGAGAGTGATGGGATGGTCTGCAGACTGTCCTCAATTGCAGGTGTGTGGCACTGAGGTTTCTGCCTTGGAGTGGCTGAAAAACTGCTGCTAAAGTGTTTTAAGATGGGGAGAGATGTTAACAGACAGAGAAGGCACAGGACTGGAGTTCTCCGACTGGTAAAGTGATTGAGTAGACTCCAGAATCTAATCCAAGATGTGACCGGCTTGGATCAGATCCTGTGACTCCATGCTAGAGTCCTGCGATTCCTCCCCACTCCTTCCCTGCCTACCTCACAGGGTCGTTGTGAGGATAAAATGGGGAAGGGAAGGAGCATGTATGCACCTTCAGTTCTGTGGAGGGAAGATGGGATGCAAATGTAATGACGAGGATGATGATGCCAAGAATTAAACCTGGGACCTTCTGCATGCAAAGCAAGTGCTTGGCCACAGAGCCCCTTCTCACAGGCATAGTGGTTAGAGTGCTGGACTTGCACCTGGGATACCAGGGTCTCATGAAACCCCTGGGTGACCTTGGGGGCCAGTTGCTGCCTCTCAGCCTAGTCTACCTCATAGAGTTGTTGTAGGGATTAGATGACAAGGGGTTCTTTCTGTGTGAAATAAACAAGCTGAAGGTTCCTGATGTTTGGGTTATGCCTTCAGAGCGCTGAGTACAGCTGGCTTAAACCGGTTCTCTTATCTCTTTCTGTCAAGGTTGTGCTGACTATGATAATCGGCCAGAAGGAGCCTGGGTTTAACTGTCTCTTTTTATCTCTTTTCCTTCTGGTGTGGTGTTTTGTACATAGTGTGCTTAGTATTAAGGTTTAGTCTTATTATAAGTTATTGTAAGTTTAAGTTAAGTCTGCTGCAACTGGATTTCTTATGGACAGTGACAATCCTGAATATATTGGATTTGTAACCGTTATGCTCATTTGCCTTCAGTAGCAGTAAAACTCTTCTGGATGAAATATAATTGCCTCTGGTTTATTTTGGGGGGAATCCTGCAATATGTTGAAGTTTTTATTCTGCTAACTATACTTTGGAGTTCTGCTCTGGATCAATATTGAGTAGAATTTCATGATGGAACCATGTACACCACCTTGAGCTCCTTAGAAGGAAAAAAGGGATATAAAAGCAACAAACAAACAAAGAAAGCTGCTAATTCAATGTTACAATTATGGGTGTCACTGGGTCTAGCCATTTGACCAGGTCGAGGTAGTATATAAAGCAATGCATTTGGGAGACTGAATTATCAAAATTTAAGTTAGATGTTAAATGTTGATCACTGGCGGAGGAAGAGGGGGGCGGGGGGAACGCACTGTCCCCAGCACCACGATCCCGGTGGGGTGCCATTGCAGCTGCCCCCCCCCCGTGCTGGGTGCTACGCCCCTACAGGCAGTGCGCCATGCCCCCAGGATGCACATCACGCCCCTGCAGGCAGCGCACCACCCCCAGGACACACGCCAGTCTGCCCCCACCTGCTCTCTGCCCCCCCCCCCCGTGCCAGAACAAGAAGCTCCACCACTAAGGTTGATGAAGCCTTCCTAATCATGAAGTTGCTGTTGCTGCTTTGGGACTGGGGGGTGTTTGGTGAGGTTAGTGTTTTATTAGGGGCTGGGTGACACGGCATTCATCATTTACCATAAATCCAGCAGATCCCCACCAGCTCCAGGACAGCTGCAAAAAGGATCCCCCAGCCAGCACAGAAATGGTCCACCAGGTTGACCCAGTAGATCCCTGCCTGCAGAAACAGGATGAAAGGCAGCAGAAAAGTTAGTTCCATTCCACGCAGATCTCTCTCACGTGTCTCTAGATTAGGGATGGACAAGTCTGTCAATTTTTGTTTCCTCTGTTTCTCAAGTTCCTAAGTTCAGTTCACATTTTTGCAGCATTAACAAAATGCAGCAATTTCTCATTTAACTCTTCATGAAAATTTATCAGCATTTTAGTGTGATTTTTTCCTAATATACACATTTATTGTATGCAGTTTTGCCTATTATGCACATTTTTGCAAAGCCGTTTCTTCCACTTTAATGCATTTTTGTGTTATTTTCAACAGCATATGCATTTAAATTGGATGCAATTTTTGTACACAGTACTTGGCTGGAGAACTGCATTGCAAATTTCGGAGGAAGATGAATTTGGGAGCATGGGTGTGTTTCAATTTGTATACTGTTTTGGAAATCCAGTAGGTTTATCTTTAAACCCAAACTTCAAATTAATTTCTCCCCCATTCCTTCTTCTAAGTGTCACTACTTCCAGGAGGGACTGAATCACATCTCAGAAATATAGGCTCACGTGGTTAAAAGGGCACTCTCTTGCCCTTGCACGACAAATCCTCTTATCCTTATTCTCCCTTTAAAAGAGACTTTTTGCAGCTAGGGAAGTGACAGGAAATGCACTGAGAAGTGCAGGATGCACAAATCATTAGCAGGAACATGCACAGCCAACCAGGATGATCACTCAATTTTGGGAATCGGGCATCAACTGGGCCATGATTCAAAGCAGTATCACACCACTTCAAACAATCATGACTTTCTCTAAAGAATCCTTGGAAGCGTAGTTTGCCATGGGTGCTGAGTGTTGTTAAGGAGATCCTTATTCTCCTCGCAGAGCGACATCTCCCAAAGCTCCCTGCGTAGAGGGAACGAGTGTGCTAAACCACTCGGGGAGTTATAGTTTTGAGGAGGGTATAGGGGTTCTCTTAACAACTCTCAGCACCATCACTGTTTAAAGCACTACCACAGTTCTTTAAATGCATAGTGGAGATGGAGCCACAGTCTGACCAGTGTGTAAGCTTCGTGCACATAACCCAGGATGCATGCTCAATAGGACAGTCATCTGGAAAAGGCTATAGTGATTCCCACCCCCCTTTGTCCCTGAGATGAGAGATTCACAAATTCTATCCTCCTGGGGTCCCGTGCCTCAAGGGAGAAGGTGGGCCCATGGAGGCTTTGCTCCTTCCTACCTGCGTAACACAGACAAGCCCAAGCAGGAATAGCATGGTGCACAGGCCCAAGGTCACTGGGATCCTCATTTTCTTCATAAGTTTGGGGTAAACATCTTGGATGGTGGTTGTAAGGGTCTCTGCAGGATAAAGTGGGCATGGTGAGCATTAGTACTATTGATTTATTTTATCATTTCAAGCTGCACTATACACACTATACATTTAAAGTGTGCAACTTCCCCACCAAAGAATAATGGAAGCTGTTGTCCCAAGAATAATGGAAACTGTTGTTTCTCAAGGGTATGAGGAACTGAATCCCTAGAAGTACAATTCCTAGGGTTCTTTGGGGGAAGCCGTGTGCTTTAAATGTGCGGAAGTTCACCAATCTAACATGCATTGCAAATAATTCATTTCCGCAGAAGGGTTTGCAGAGTTTAAGGGACTGTAATCCTAGGAAGACAGTTCAGAGTGGCAACCTGATGAAATAAAATTTAATATAATCTCTGCTGACTGATTAATCAAGGGTTCATTTGAGGAGGTTTCAAATGTTAATAAATTATTAACTAAAGAGTGCAATCCTAAGCATACGACTTTTCTGTTCAGGCCAGGCTACCCAGACATGGAATTTTGTTGTATATATTGCTTGCTAATCTTATCATGTCTATTTGTTTATAAAGTCTATTGATTTCATTACTATTTCCCCATCATACTAGGTTTAAAAGCAATACATAAATGAACACCTATGAACAGGCTTGTGCAGAGTTTGTCTGAGACCTGGGGCTGGAATCTTGCTAGAATAAAATTATAAACTTAAACAAAAAAGGAGCCAGTCCTTGGCAGAGGCCCCCCAGCCAGCTTAGCTTTCATCTTTGCATCAGGAAACCAGCTGCGCGAATCAAGGCTGGAGATTAGCATGAAGGTCACAGGGAAGAGTGGCTGAGATAGGAACAGCTTGTTTTGTAGCATGACTCACCTACAGTAGCAAACTGGGAATCGAGCCCCAGGAGCAGGAGCATGAAGAAGAACAAGAAGGACCAGAGGGGGGCGACGGGGAGCTTCGAAAGGGCCTCCGGATAGGCAACAAACGCCAGATCAAAGCCTGTAACAGAAGAGAAACAATTGTGGGATGAGAAGGCAACAGGAAGTGGTTTCTTGCAGTGTCTCAATGGAGGCCTCTGATGCTGTGGATCAAGGAAGAGCAACAGGGAGGCTGCAATCTCCAGCCTAGTTTCATCAAAATCAGCTCTCATTCCATTCATTCTGCTGCAATTCGGCATCTGCTAAAATCTACCTTGTTCATCTTGCTATTTGCCATGGCCAAAACTAATGCAATTAATTACATAATCATGCATTTGATTTCAATGGAGGAAAACAGCATATTTATTCAATGCTTGTGGACTAAAAACCCCTCACAATGATAGCGAATGCCGCTCATATTTGCTTGTGGGATTTCTGTTTCTGGCCTTGGAATATATGAATTGATGGGATTTTTTCTGTTTCCGGTTTCAATGAAATGCTCCAACTTCCCTACCAACACATATCCCAAGAGCAGCACAACCCCCGGACGCCCACAGCCTGTCACAGCAAAAGTAGGTGAAGGAGAAGGTGGCGTCTCCCCACATGTCAGGGGGCAGCATCCTCTGTAGCACCTGAGGTTTTCAACCTTTTTGGGTCCACTGCTCCCTTGACCAACTACATTCTTTCTGTGGTTCCCCTGTGGGGCTCAGGAGATCAGTTATGTCCCCCCCCCCCCGCTTGCCTCCAGAGCTGGAAGCCTCTCACCCTTTTTCAAACACCATCCCTGGTGGAGTGCTCCCTCAGCCTCCCCTCCCCTCCCTTTGGGAGTCCTCTGGGCAGCTGCTTCCACCCGCCCCCACAAAGAGAGGTGCCTCCTCACCCCCCGGGGGGGGGGCTGGGAAGAGGATGCCCCCAGCCTTAGCAGCCTGACGAACACTGGCCAAAGGTGAATGTGACGCCAGCACTTTACTCACCTTGGGAGGCAGCAGTGGCAGCAGCAGGTGCTGCCAGGCCTGCCTGGCGGAAGGGCTCCCCTTTAGCACAGGGCACTCACCTCCCAGGCAGGCCTTGCACACAGTGAGCACAAGAAAGGCCAGTGTAATGGCTGGCTGCCTGCCCAGCCTCCCTCTCGTCTGTCCATTTCCCAACAGCAAGGGCTGGTGGACTGGCTGTCTGGGCTCCCTCGCCCGCTTGCTTGCTTACTCTGAGGCCGCCTCTGCTCCTGGCAACCAGCACCCCCTGGCCAGCCCCAGAGGCACCATTGGCCTGCGGAGCTTATAGCCAGGGCTGCTGCAGCAAACAGCTGGGCAAGCCTTTGGCAGGCTTGAGAGAGGGCATCCGTGGAGGGAGGGAACGAAAGAGGGACAGAGGCCAGGGTTGCCCGTGGCACCTCGACCATCATTCAAGGCACCCCGGGGGCCACGACACACAGGTTGAAAACCACTGGGCGACCATATAGGGTATGGGGCAGGGCACACAAACCTGTGCTCGCTCCCCATCCTTCTGTACCCTCAGCTCTCTCTCTGCCTCATGGTAAGGCTAGGATCCAATTTGTCACAGTTCTAAGAAAGCTCAGGAGAATTAATGGAAGGATCTTTTTTATTTTGCTTCTCCCAGCTTGTTTGCTTTTTCGGTCTTAGATTCTCTACATTCTTGAAGCAATTGTTGTACTTTCTTAGTGTACAGAGGCATGAAAATACGCCAGTGTTTCATCATTTTTTTGTGTGTGTGTTCCTAATCAACACATTTTTTGTATGTTATTTTGACTGCAAACATTTCTGCAAGTCACTTCCCAGTTCCGGGGAGGGCAGGAAACAAACAAATAAATACCTAATGGAATGCATTTTTGTATGTCATTTCCACGAATGCTTTCATTTTTTAGGCATGCTTTTCTCTGAAATAAGCATTTTTGTAAACATTGGTTGGTAGGAGCGCTGCATTGCCAAATTTGGAGAAGTGCAAATTTTGATGGCTGGCTGGCTGTGCTCTGCTTCTCATATACTTCTCGAAAGTGCAAATTTGATAGATCCAACTTTAAATGCAAACTGCATAGAATTTCCCCCCCACCCCTACACACAAGTAGGGGGTGCTTACCATAGCCCACTGCTGCTCTATAACACCCAAGAGCGCCACATTTGAATGTCCGTTTTCTCTCCCCACATTCCAGGTCAGGACTGCAGGCAGATACACACAGGGTCATGGCTTCAACACCAGCCAGCCTTTCCTCCCCCCAACCTTTACTGCTTAGTATCTAGCGTGATGAAAAGCTGGCACACTATCATTGTGATATTTTATTTATCATTAAATCATTTGCTTCTTAAAATTAGGCCCGATTCATCCTTTCCCCAAATAACGGAGGGCAGCAAACCACTAACTTAATAATTCCAGTACAAACACAGACTGGGAAAGATCTCCATTTAAAAGAGGAAGGTGTTCAGTTGGCACTGGAAAAAACATCAGAGGAAGTGTCTGTCTAATATTTAATGGGAGGGAGTTACATAGGATAGGTACCACAACACAAAAGACCTGCTTTCTTTCTTGTGTGGAAGAAATCTCCAGATAAGGAGGCCTTCACGTGCAGAGCATAGTAATTGATTGGGGTGAGATAATCTTTCAGGTTTCCTGGTCACAAGCCACATAGGGCTTTATACACTTAAGCCAGCACCTGTAACTTGGCTGTTAACTGCTAATTAATTGGCAGCCAACAGCAATTAGACCAGCACTTTGGTTGAGCAAATAAAATTATTGCTGTAATTTGGATTAAAAAAGAAGATTCTGAGCTACAGCTGTCTTGAGCCTCCCACCCTCATGTCTACTCTGAGCAAACATGCAGAGAATCCCATAATCCGTATTTCTCAAGATTACTTATAGTCCTCCTTGTCAAGCAGCCACTGCAGGACAAATGCATTTGGTGCATCTTCAGCCAGGCATGAACTATGAACACATCATACATTTAAAGCACAGAGAATCTTGAGAACTGTAGTTTACCCCTTACAGAGCTGCAATTCCCGGCACCCTTAACAAACTGCAGTTTCCAGGATTCGGGGGGCGGGCGGGGGGAAGTGTCGCATGCTTTAAATGTCCCTTAAAAGTAGACAGCCATAGATGGATCTAAACAGTATTTCTCCAGTCTACCTGAATCGACGACTTCTGAGACTTTCTTGCCTGCCTCGTGTGCCATGTGTCCCAAGATGGAGAAAATCGCAAAACCAGCAAAGACGCTTGTGAGGCAGTTTATCACGCAGACAAAAATGGCGTCCGAATAGCAGTTGTTGTTGAATTTGTTGTATGAGGAGAGGGCGACCAACCCTCCCCACGCAACAGACAGAGAGAAAAAAATCTGTGTGGCAGCATCTTTCCAGACCTTGAGAAAGACAGATGGAGGTGGGGGTGGACAATATAGATATTATTGCATCACAATCCCTGCAATGTAATAGGCATGTGTGTTGCAAAGGCTGCTGTACACAGGTATAGGCTGGGGTAGCCAACATAAGAACACAAGAGCTTGCTGGGTCAGGCCCAAGGGGGCCCATCTAGTCCAACATCCTCTTCTGACAGTGGAGGAAACATCTCTGAGGAACAAGGGGAAGTTTAGGTGTGTGGCCTGATTCTGCTCATATTTATTTTTTTAAAATATAACGTCCCTGCTCTCTTCATCCAGCAATGTTAGACAACAGGAAGTTTTTGCAACGATGCCTGCCATGTTCAGACTGGGAAATGATGCATTTTAATGCCACACTGGAACTCATACATTTGGGGGGGGGGGTGCAGAGGGGAGGTATGTAGGAATTCCCACTTTGCCTGTTATCAGTAGTGTGGAAAGAGGATAACAGGGACTTAATCCCTCTTAGGAACATCATAGGAAGCTCCTTTATATAATGTCAGACCATTGGTCCATAGCCCAGTTATGGAGATGTTAAGAGGTCATGACTCCCCAAGGTTTCAAGGAGAGGACACCCCAGCCCTGGAAAGTCCGTTGGGGATTGAACCTGGGGCCTTCCAAATGCAAAGCAGTTGTTCTGCCATGCACCAATGACCTTTCTCTTAAAAGGTAAGGCTTTCATGGTTGAAGATAAAGAGCTGATTTAATGGTACATAAGAAGCTGCCTTACCTAGGACTAATCTACACGGGTGAGTTATACTGTTAAAAATGTGTTATAAAAGTGTGAGGGGACTGTAGAGCAGCAATCTGTCACCAGTGGGAAATTGCCCTGAGAGCAATATTTTTATAGCATTTTTATAGTGTTCTCCTGATCAGTGTAGATCCAGCCCTAGAGTCAGATCCCTGGGCATATCTAGCTCAGTATTGTCACTTTACACTGACGGGCAGCAGCGTTCCAAGTTTTCAGGCAGGGGACATTCCCAGACAGTGCTCTAACACTGACCCTTCTGTGGCCCTTCTGTGCTGTTATCTGATATCTGGCAGAAGCCGTGCTCAGCCCAATTCCACCACCTGCCAGGACACACTCACCTCTGCCTCTGTGAGCTTGGTGAAATTAGACTGCTTTCCAATGTAGAACTCAATGCCCTCCAGAGCACCGTCTAGAGTGGCACCTCGGACCAGCAATATCACAAGGACAACGTAGGGGAAGATTGCTGTGAAGTAAACAATCTGTGGTGATGAGAAAAGAAATGAAGGAATGATCAAAATTTTGGATTTGGGAGGAGGATGTAGAAGGTGGAGTCAGGGTGGGAGTGAGTCTTAAATGGAGGATTTCACTAGATCTGGAGCAGGGAGCCACTTGCAGCCAATGAGATGGATGCCTTGTGTCCCTCAGCACCCACAGGTCATTCTGACAGATGGGCAGAGATGCCCACCCATCAATCACCCAATGATACAATAATGATAATGATAATATCATTATGTTGGATATTATAATATGTTGGAAAAGAGAAGACTGAGAGGAGATATGATAGCCATCTTCAAATACCTTAAGGGCTGTCATATGGAGGAAGAAATATGCCTGTTTTCTCCTGTTCTGGAGGGAAGGACTCGAACCAATGGCTTCAAGTCACAAGAAAAGAGACTCTGACTAAACATATGGAAAAACTTTCTGACAGTAAGAGCTGTTTGGCAGTGGAACACACTCCCCTGAGAGGTGGTGGACTCTCCTTCCTTGGGGGTTTTTAAAGACAGGTTGGATGGCCACCTGTCATGGATGCTTGAGCTGAGATGCCTGCACTGCAGGGGGTTGGACTAGATGACCCTTGGGGTTCCTTCCAACTCTACAATACTATGAATCTATTAAATAAATAAAGTAAGTAAGTAAGTAAATAAATAAATAAATAGTGTCCCAGAGCTATTTAATATAAAACCAGTGCATTTTTTTTAAAGGTGGTATGCACCAGTAGGCTGTATTGCCACCTCTCCCCCCGCCCCCATGCTACAAATTCATGTGACCCTTTTATCTTTGCCAAAGCCTTTCAGGTCGGTGCCTGATTATTGTAAAAAGGTGGTGCCAGGGCAGAGGCGCTTTGGCACAATCCTTTTGTGATTGTCAGGCAAGTTCCTGGAAGGCACTTTGCTGATTGTAAAAGGATTGCGCCAAAGCACTTCTAGGATGCAGCAGGCAAAGGTGTGAGGGGGGAGGGAGTGGGCGCATGGGTGGGCAAGTGGGGGTCAGCATGGTGGCGGGGGGTGTGTGCGAACAGGCAAAAAGCAGCAGGGTGGGAGAGATGGGGGGGGCATGGTGCATACTGGCACCATTTTCCCTAGAAATAAAGCACTGTGCATTACATACATACGGTTGTTAAATAATATGTGCAATGATTGCCTATATAAAATATTTCTTGAAAATAATTATAATTGTAAAAGCTGTTCCTTCTATCTACATGCAAAGCAGCTGATCTGCATTTGTGACGGCCCCTCCCTCAATCCTGCCGGTACTGCAAAACTTCCTTCTGGGGAACAGCCTCTCACTCCTCTGCTGCAATTGTGAGCAGTCGTGCAGGTTCTCTGGAATGCATGAGTGTGTGAGTGACTGTGTGCACGAGTGAGGACACTCCCATTGGTGATACCCCACAGGAGCCTCAGCTCTTGTCCTTGGGATCACCTCCAGATGAGCAACATAGATAAGAGCAACCCACAGCTTCCTGCCAAACTTGTCCTTCTATGCTGGCCCTGCAGAATTGCTTAGGAGAACCCAAATGCCGTGCCAAACTAGACTCCTCTGCCACGTTGTTAACTGCTAATTTTAGTGGAATCACCCTGCCGATGCTTCTCAGTGACTGGAGAAGGAAAGGGAGTCGGCCCCTGAGCTTAGCAGTGCTTAGAATAATCATTGCACTCTCAGGATGTCATCACTGAGCCAGCCAGGCTGGTTCTGCTCTCACAAACAGAAGCCCTCTCATTGCTTCACCACCACCACTTGCCAGAAACCCTATGCAGATGGATAACCTTCTAAATTTCTCTCTCTCGCCACCCTGAATTTAAAACATGATACTGCCTTAAACAGTCGTGGTTTCCCCTAAAGAATTCTGGGAGTTGTAGTCTGTTAAGGGTGCTGAGAACTGTTGGAAGACCCCCTTATTGCCCCCACAGAGCTACAGTTCCCAGAGTTCCCTGTGAAGAGGGATTGACTGTTAAACCACTCTGAAAATTGCCGCTGCACCCTTAAACTACAGCTCCCAGGATTCTTTGAGGAAAGAAGCCAGGGAGGTTTAAAGAGCTTTAAATGCATGGTGTGAATGCGAACTCTCTTCCAACTCAAGGGAGTTCTGAGCTATGTTGCACAACCTCTTCTCAAGGGAGATTTTTATTCTGTAGATAGGTATGAAACAAGCCTGAACATCCCACATTGAAACAAGGGGACAATTATGCCATTGCGGCTGACTGGAAAGAAATGCAGGCTCTCATAAGCTCATGTATCTGTGAACACAAGTCTAGGCAGTGGCTGCTGGTACTCTTGCTTTGGTGCCCAAAGGTGCTTGAACTATCCAAAGTTATTCTGGATTTTCTAGAGTGGGCCTGACCACTGCTGCATAGGAAGCTGCTGTAAACCAAGTCAGACAACTCGTCTGCCTAACTCAGTAAAGTCTACATCTAGATAGCTCAGATGGTTAGAGCACGATGTCGATGATGCCAAGACTGCAGGTCCGATCCCCGTATGGGACAGCTGCATATTCCTGCATTGCAGGGGTTTCGACTAGATGGCCCTTAGGGTCCCTTCCAACTCTACAATTCAACATCTCTATGGTTCTTTGATGGTCACAGCTCTCAGCCCTACCTGACATTGGGGATTGAACCTGGAACCTCCTGCATGCAAGGCAGACCCTCTACCATGGACCTATGACCCTCCCCTTGAAAACAGTGCCTCACTCTAAATAAAGGGCTGGACTTGGGAAACTGCTTTGTCCATCAACTTCAGTACAGTATGCACTTGACAAGCAGTTGCTCTCCAGGGTTTGAGCAGGGAGTTCATCTGAGTGTTTTCCTTTCAATGTGTTTGCATCCCATTGGAGCACAGGCTTGATCAAAGAGAGGGAGAGCAGATCTGGTGGACTGATTATGTCCTTTTCTCACGCAAAGGAGGCTGGCACTGCAGCTGGTAGCCCAACGTGTCTGGGTTAAGCCTACCTTTCCCGAAGACTTGATTCCTTTAAACAAGGCCACTGCCACAATCAGCCAGGAAAGGAGAAGGCAGAGGGCGAGGTACCACACAACCTCCCCAGTCTCGTCTAAGCCACTTGAACGCTGAAGGACCTTGTTGCTGGGGGGAGACAAGGGAAGCATCAGCAAAGACATCACTTAGAACGGAGTGCTGTAGCCAGCTGTGCAAAATGAGGTGTTCTAAAGAAGGCATCTGTGTAACCTCCAAAAGGGGCTCCTACATCCTGCAGACCCCAGTTTGGCTTAGGAACTTTTATTTCACCCAGGGATGGGAGAATGGCCTAAGAATATGTTACAGGCCAGACAAAGGGGTTTAGAAGCTATTTGGTTTTGATTCACCAAGATTTCCTCTGACAACAAATACTAGCTTAATCTTGACTTGGTCATACACTACGTCTGCGTGTCTGAACCAGATCTAGCTTGCCAAGGTTTCATCCTGGCCCTGGGCACTGATTCTTTTGCCTCTGGGTTTTGAGCTTGGAGAACTGATCTTGTGAAGTCCCACCACCAGCTTGCAAGGTTTCCCAAGCAATATTGGCAATGTCACATTTCTCAAAGCAAACCAGGATCCATGTCTCTCTTCTGGAGGCTGTACCATGTTGTTTCACTAACAACGTAGCTTTTATTACTCATATTACTCATTGGGCAAATGTGCCGCAACCCATAATGATTAGTGCACAAAAGAAGCAGGGCAGGTGACACACCTGCAAATTAGTTGTGTTCAGGTGTCATTGCCACTCTCCAATGCCTGCCCCTTTCAGGTTGTATACACCTGAACAAAGGGGTCACCTAGGTAGATGCTTAATGATCAATGAGTTTTGGGTGGGAGACAAAACTGCCTAACATTTCAGGATCTGCCCTCCTGTGTTGTTAAACTGCTTCAGGATAGGTAGTGATTGGGGTTTTTTTTGGGGGGGGGGGGTGTTGCAAAAAGGTTGTTGATAGAGGTGGATGGACAAAGGTCAGCTTGGATATGGAAGAACCCTGTTGCTCATGTTTGTGGCCTTGGGCAAGTTTCTCAGTTCCCCATCTGTAAAATGGGGGTCAGCAGAGTCTTACCTCACAATGCCATTGTTTTAAAGGTCATAGGTAGTTGCCTACGACTGTATGCAAACCAGACCTTTAAAGCACATTCTTCCCCACAAAGAAACCTGGGAATGGTAGATTACCCCTCACCAAACTAAGGTTCCCAGCACCGATAACAAACTACAGAACCCAGGATTCTTTTTGGGGTGGTGTGCTCTGAATGTGCTTTAAAAATCTGGTGTGTACTAGAGTTTGGCTAAGTGAGACCACTGGCCTATTTAGCTCAATGCTGTCTGTACCTTCTTTCTCCACTTGCTGCCCATCATCCCTGGCCATCGACGAGAGTCGTGGTCTAAAACATCCAGACAGTACAAGGTTGGGCGAATGCTGGTCTACACTGACTAGGCATTTTTCTACCTGGGGATGCCAAGGATCAAACCTGAGTTCCTTCTGTGTGTAGCTGTTGAGCCACAGCCCCTCCACCCACTGAGGGCACCCAATGACACCTGCAGACCACATTTCAACTGGAAGAGCAACAGGCCCAGGACTCACTTCCAGTATTGTTCGCTGGGAGCCTGGGTGTTCGCAAACACCTTGGTGCCATTGATGCAGGTGTGGTTGTTTTTCTCAACCCAAGAGTAATTCGCGTTGATAGTAGTCTCATCCTCTAATGTAATGTTGCAGTTTAACACTGAAAGACAAAAAAGTGTTGCTCAGCAGTTCTGCAGAAGGAAGGGGTATGTGAAGCAACAGCAGCAAAAACATTTTTAACCCCCAGTGTGATTTTGACCTCTGACCATTTCTTATGAGCAGAATGCCCATTGCAATGACACAAAGGGTGTGTGTCTGTACGGAACAAGCAAGGATGGGGACCTTGATGTTGATGGATGTTGTTGTGGTTGTTGTCATTGTCACATTTATTAATCACTTCCCAAACCTCTGTCAGAGTGATTTATACATATGACAAAAACAGTTAGAAACAGAAAAACAGCAAATACCTTTAGAGCAAAACTAAAACCGTAACCAGTGAACACTTATGGTAAAGAGCCATTTTATCTAACTGGGAAAGCCTGTTGGAGCAAAACTGTCTCCAATGGTTTCTACAAGGTGCAGGTGATGGTCGTCTGTTGTATATCAACAAGAATGCTATTCCACAGACAGGGGCAACACACTAAAAGCCTTGCTCCAGGTTACTGCAAAGCAGGCTTTCTGAGATCTTTGGAACTTGCAGGAGAAACTCTTCTGCAGAGCACAGTGAATGTATAAGAGATAAAGCAGGTCTTCCAGGTAATTTGGTGCTGAGCTGTGTAGGAACCTATACTCTCTACTGTATTATTAATCCCCGTCATCCCTGACCACTGGCCATGCTGGCTGCTAATACTGAGAGCTGGAGGCCAGGAACACCTGGAGGAACCAGGACAGGGAAGACTGGCCTACAGAAAATGATGGGGGACCTGATAGCCACCAATTAACACCCCAATTGCATTGGTTCTTTTTATGTGGTGCTTTGTCAGTTTGCATCAGCACTTGCACACATAGGTTAAAACACTGTAGAAAACAGGCCATCTCAATGTGACTGCACATCCAGGTGTATTAAGAGTCTTGGTGTGGTGTTTTACCACTATGTATGGATGCCACTATGTATGGGACACGGGTGGCGCTGTGGGTAAAACCTCAGTGCCTAGGGCTTGCCGATCGCATGGTCGGCGGTTCGAATCCCCGCGGCGGGGTGAGCTCCCGTCTTTCGGTCCCAGCTCCTGCCCACCTAGCAGTTCGAAAGCACTCTTAAGTGCAAGTAGATAAATAGGTACCACTTTATAGCGGGAAGGTAAACGGCGTTTCCGAGTGCTGCGCTGGTGCTGGTTTGCCAGAGCAGCTTCGTCACGCTGGCCACATGACCCAGAAGTGTCTCCGGACAGCGCTGGCCCCCGGCCTCTTAAGTGAGATGGGCGCACAACCCTAGAGTCGGACACGACTGGCCCGTACGGGCAGGGGTACCTTTACCTTTACCTTATGGATGCCTATACCTATCAGTAGATCACCCCGAAAAATGAACTGAACATAGGAAGCCTCCTTAGACTGAGTCAGACCATAGGCCCATCTAACTCAGTATTGTCTACACTGACTATCCAGGGCTTTGTACAGGAAGTCTATCCTGGCCCAGCCTGGAGATCCTGGGCTACTCTACCATTGTACTACAGAGCTTCCTTGCATTGCAATCATACATATGACCACATCAAGATTGCTCTTTTGCAGTGTTTTATCAGTCCACATTCCATACTGGTAACATGGAGGTTCAAATGAACAGAAGTTGTTGAGCGTGGAGGCAAACTCTGTATTTCCCCAGACAAGTAGATGCAGGCGGGGGGAGGGGGGAAGGTTGTAGTTAGTGTAGTAACAGTCGGGGGGGGGGGGCACCGGTGCTTAGCAGACCTCCCGTCTCCAGTTTTGCTGCAGCTTACCCAAAAGAAGGAGGAGTGGTGAGGTCAGCATAGTACAAATGCATTGGTTGGAGTGCCAGATTGGTTCTGCCTGTGTGTTTCAACTGTGCCAGCCTCATCCCTTTCCGCAGTGACACAGTGGGCAGGAAACCAGGTAAGAGCCACTTTCCCACCCTGCCAACCACTACAGACTTAGAGGACACCGTTAGCAGTAGGGTCCCAGCTTGCTTTCTGCCCATGGTGACTTGGCCACAGATAACCAAACTCGCTTCTAACTGTATAGTGCCACCTATGCATGTCCACACGCTTCATTTGCAGAGTCCATCCCTGTTTCTTGGTCACACACTGATGTGTGATGGACTGTTGCAACATTGCACTTATATACTGAGGCACCATTTGGGAGGGGTAAAGAAAAATGATGCACTAATCCAGACGCCAAATAAGCCATCATTCAGCAACAGCAAGAGACCACGGCATCAGTTTACTGTAAATAAGTTGCAACACGATCAAGGATTATTGAATGAGCTTGAAAGAACAGTCTGCTGCTATGGAAGTCTTACCTAGCCTCGTCTTGCTGCAATTTGCATTGGCCCACTCAGGATTGCAATCTGCCCAAGGGAGGACACTTTGGAAGGAGGCAAACAAGTAGTAGAGGCTGTAGCCAATGATGACATTGTAATAGATGGTCACAAACGTTGAAATGATCACCATTGTGACTCCGACTCCTAAAGGGATAGAGAGGAGACATCGTGATAAGAGCAGGAAGAGCATTTCTAATGGCCATGATGTTCATTCCCTCAAAATTATTTAACAGACTCACTGGATTGGAGAATAAGGCTTGTGGGGAGCCATCCCTATCTCATCCCTCCTGCCCAAACCGTCCTCCAAACTTTCTAGTTGAAAACGGCATTCCACATGGGTCAAAGCACTTTCTAGAGCAGAGATTGGCAACACTGAGCCTAAGGGAAGCATCCCTTTCCAGGGGCCACATACTAGATGCAAAAGTGGACAGAGCAACAAATGTTAATTTTACCTCTATACAGTACCCTGGCTTCTACACCTATGCAAGAGGCATGATAAGAGTTTAAGGGCACATTTCCAACCAGGCAAAAGCAGTCAAGGAGGATACAAATCAGATGTGTTGTTGAGTTTATGAATGGTCCCCAGGGATCACGCCTCCTACCTCTTAACATTTTTCATCCAAGGGGTGGTGAATATCCCGTACGCTATTATTGTAGCACAGTTTTGACCACCAAGCATGCATTTTTGCTTCCTCTGCTGCTTTCCCAATAAGCCACAAGCAAGACAAGGAAGATGCAAAAGACGGAGTGGATGGAAACTGATTGACTCAAGTTCTAGATCAAATTCTTTTGGGGGTAAATATTGTGGGATGTAATCCATGAGAGGCAGTCAAGTACAACATTCCTTGAAAAGCTAGAGAAGATGTGTGAGGGAGTGTTTGGTTCAGCCAGTCAAAACTTCCCGTTCCTCCTGGCTAGAGCATCCTTCTTTTTGCATGTGATAGAAGGTGGGCATGATGTAACCTGTCCAGGTATCAAAAGGACGAGTCACGCAGCACACCTCTCTCTTTTTCACTTCTTTCTTCATTTGACCAGATTCTAGTTAGGACTGCTCTGCTAGCTCTCAGATAGCAGAACACTGGGATTACTCCCCCATATGGGGTAGATCCACATGTACATATTTGTAACTAAGTCTGCCTTCAGGGATTCAACCCTGAACTGATGTAAGTAAACTTCTTTTATTGACTTCTTTATTCTTTTAAGAGGGATTCAAGGGAACTTACCAGGAATGTACAATTCAATTTGAGACAGGCTGTGCATTTTTAACATACAGTGTCTATGGGTCTCCCTCCACTGTTTGAGGCTGTGTGCCTCTGAATACCAGTTGCTGAGAATCAATGCTGCTGCACCCACATTGGGGCACCTGGCTGGCCACTGTGAGAACAGGATGTTTGTTGGGTTAGATGGGCCTTTGGCCTGATCCAGCATGGCTCTTCTTATATTCATATGTTCAAGGCTGTTGTGTTGATATATAAACCCCTGAACAACTTGGGTCTAGGGCACCTTAAGGACTGCCTGTGGTCCAATCCCTGAGATCACCCGGAGGAGTGCTGTTTGTTGCCCCTCACGTTGCAATGGCCCAAATGGCTTCATCCGTAAGTCAGGCGTTTAGTGTCACCAGCCCCATTCTGTGGGGCACTCTTCCAGCAGTGATCCAGCAAGCACCCTCACTTCTCAGGCATCTCATGGAGGTGTTATCAAGCTGGCAGGCCTATGCAGTTGCTTAAAACTCACACAAATTGTCTGTTCTGTGCTGCTTAAAAAAAATGTTTGTATATTGCTCTGCACCACCCTGATATATTATGAGAGGGTGGTAGATTAAAATACATTCCAAAATAAAAAAATGAGCACAAACCACCCTCGATTTTGCATTAGAGAGCTGCAAACAGAAACCTTCCCAGGAAGTGTTGTGTATGCGTGTGAGTGTGTGGATGTTTCATGGCAGCCCAGTGGAAACCAATGTGGGAAGGGAAACAATGCCAACCTTGTAAAAGGGGTAGAATCCTCCAAACAGAAATGGGTCCCAAGCTGGCAAACTGCCCAAGCGAGCATTCCAGGAAGAACAAAGGCAGCCCTGCCAGAGCCAGCATGACGGTATAAGGTATCAAGAAGGCCCCTGCCAAGAAGACAACAAAAGGAAAGAATGTGAGCGTTGGACCAGCCAACCTTCCAAGACGTGTGCATATACAAAGGCAACAAAATGTTACGCACCACAAACACACTGGGAAATAGGCAGATTAGCAGCCTGCTGATGGTGTGGGCACAGAGAATCATAATCGCTCTACCCCCACCCCGGAAAAAAGCACCCTTAAACAGGCATTTGGCATTTGGATGAATTCTGTTGTTAAAGTATTACCCCCAACTTCTGTGTAAATCTAAACCGGGCTTCTAGAAATCTGGTGTTTGGGGCTCCCACTCCCAACACCCTTGCTGACTGGGACTGGCGGGCATTGCTCGAAGCACTGCACCTTTTATGCCAACCACACTTGGCACAATGTAAGTTATTTCTAGCCTGCAGCATTCATGCTGTTTGTGTCTCAAGGGCTGGATGAGGAGTGGGAAGAAATGCCTTTCATGGAAATTTCCTTGGCTGGTCGCCTAAAGGCACTTTCAACACACTCTAGGTGAGTAGGTAAGCAGCTCTTTGCCAGCATGCATTATAAGACAGGCAACTTCAGCAAATGCTCCACTAAGGTGCTTCTCCATTTTCTCCTTCTAGGATGGCCTTGCCACTGACACAGGAAGCACAAACAGAAAGCCTACCTCCTCCATCCTTATAGGTGAGGTATGGAAAGCGCCAGACATTCCCCAAGCCAACGGCATAGCCAACCATAGAGAGGAGGTAGTCTGATTTGCGCGACCAGTTTCCTCGTTCACTCTCTTCATCTTTTTCAGTAATTTTCTCAGTAGACAAAGTGAAATCCTTTAAGAAGGAAGAGAGAAAGTCATTCACGCATTTATATCAAAACCTTTGCATCCCACCATTCTGTCCATGAATGAACATTGGCGAGAGAGAGAGAGAGAGAGAGAGAGATGATACAAAAGAATGCATGCCAATTATTATATTAATTTATTATATTATTATATACTCAGAGTAGACCCACTGAAATTTACGAACATGCCCATCTTAGGTCCATCCATTTCAATAAGTCTACTCTGAGTAAAACTTAGTTGGATGCAGCCCAATACTTAATATTTATTAATTTATATTAATTAGTTTACATTAATTTACATACACGACAAGGCCCAAGTAGACCCATTTGTTATATAACAACAGTTATAATGCTCACCAGCCATGGCGGCTGCCATGTTCTGCTTCCATTACAAGAGGCATAATGCTTCTGAACACCAGTTTCTAGGACTCTCAGGGGAGAAAGTGCTCTTGCAGACCCTCCAAGTGCCCCTCTTTTCCAGGGATGGTCCCAGATTGACAGAAGCCATCCCAATTTCTTATTTGATCCCAGAATGTCTTAAGACGTCCCTGTTTTCACCAGAGAAATGCTGGAAAGTATGGAGTTATGTGACCCCCAGAGCCAAGGAGATAAGTATACAGTGGTACCTCGGGTTACAGATGCTTCAGGTTACAGACTCTTCTAACCCAGAAATACTACCTTGGGTTAGGAACTTTGCTTCAGGATGAGAACAGAAATCGTGCAGCGGTAGCAGGAGACCCCATTAGCTAAAGTGGTGCTTCAGGTTAAGAAGAGTTTCAGGTTAAGAACGGACCTCCGGAACGAATTAAGTACTTAACCCGAGGTACCACTGTACAACCTTTAGAAGACCTCTAAAGGCAGCCCTGTATAGGAAAGTTTTTTTAATGTTTAATGTTTAGTTATCTTTTAAATATGTTGGAAGCTGCCCAGAGTGGGCAGCAAATAGCAAAATTATTATTATTATTGTTATTAGATAGGACACCCCTATTTTCATTGGAGGGTTTGTTGTTGTGCTCATATCCTTCTTGGGGGCTACCCTTGGGGGCATCTGGTCAGCCACTGTGAGAACAGGATGCTGGACTAGAAGGGCCATTGGCCTGATCCAGCAGCAGGCTCTCCTTATGTGCCTATGTTCTTGGCAGTTTACAAAATAAAGAAGCCAAGTTACACCAACATTAAACTATAAACACCCATGATTGAAATACACAATAAAAGAAAGCCACTTATAACAATGCAGCAATTAAAGGCAGGAGACTCAGGAAAGGCACCTGAGCCAAGGACAAGGTTAATAACACCCCCCATGGTTTACCAGTCAAAGGCCAGAGATGGAAGAGATGAGCCTGAATGCCAGGGGGCTGCAGGCGGGGGGGGGGGAGGGAGTTGCACTCATGTGCTGCTTTTGCTTCCCAGAGGCGGAAAGGGGAGCTGGGCCAGGGGGCCTTAGACCTGATCTAGCAGCCAGGTCCTTCCTGTATTTCTCCACCACCAGGGCAGAATCAACAGCAGCAACAGTGAAGCAGAAAAGCATTTCACATAACTCAATTTTTCTGTGGATATCCAGGTCAGAGCATGTCCTGGGCTGCAACTGAAATGACTGCTGTTGCTTTAAAATCAGCTGAGAAAAAGGCACAGAATCTTTAGTTCTACACGCAGAGCATGGATCCCTCCAAGGCAGGAGTGCCATCTTGGCCCTGCGACTGCGGGTGCCCGGGGCTGTGGTGGGTGCCACGCAGCTTGCCTGGTCCTGGCGATGAAATTTGTGGGTGCCCAGCCCATTCATGGGAATTTTTGTAGGCAGTGCTCAGGCACCCAGGGCCCAGGCACCTATGCCCCAAGGCATCTTAGGAGCTGTAATTTGCCCACAGCAGAGCAACAATCCCCACCACCCTTAACTACACTTCCCAGAATCCTTTTTTGGGGGGAGGGGGGGAGAGTTGTGTGTTTCAAGTATGCTTTAATTATATGGCAAAGTCAAAATAAATTTGTCAGCCACCTTTAGATCTCATGGCAGTTCGCGGCATAAAAATACCAATGCTTCCCTCACATGCACCTGCCACTTTAGTTCTGATACTTTTTTAAACACACACACACACCCAGGATCAATCCTCATGGGCATGGCCGGGGGGGGGCAGGGGGGTAGTTGCCCCCCAGATCAAGTAAAACAGCAGAAATACTTAACTAACTGAGCAGTCACCGCCCATCAAAATCCCTCACTATGCGCACGTTAACCCTTTTACCTCTTGGCCATTTCTGCTCCATCAGAGGTTCCCAAGGGGGGAGCAACAAAGGTGAGCTCTTCTGTTCAACCTTGTGGAAGCCTTTGGGCTGCCAGAACCCTGCTGTAATTGCTAATCTTCAGTCATGCAAGCCTTTGCTCCCCCTTTCGCTTCTGACTCCGTTTCCCCTACCCCTGGTCTCACCCTGGGGTAGAATGCTATTCGTTCGTTCGTCTGTATCTATATAGATATACTTAGCGATAAGACTGTAATGAGAGCCTCGAACTACAGCAGTTCAGACACTTGTTCCCTTGTTCTGGATCTTGATAAGACGCAGTTAATCACTAAAACCAGGGGCGAAACCAGGCTTTATTTCACCGGGGTCAAAGACCCAGTTTGGCACCCCAAGCCCACGTGCAACCCCCCCAAAAAAAACCCCCACACAGGCAGGGCGCCTCAATGGCGCCCCTCTGGAGGAGTCACAAGGCAAAAAACCTGGCTAGCCCCGCCCCCCAGCTAAGGCACTGACTAAAACCATCTATTTATGCCAGTGACTTACCAAGCAGGACTTTTAAATTATTGTAGCAAAAAGCAGAGCAAGTGATGAAGGCAGAAGCCCAAACCCTTTGCTGTAAGAATTGAGCATTTCTGATCTGCAAGCTATTGTTCGTCATATATCTGTGTCTATATATCCCAAAGTATCTATATATCCAAAAGCAAATCAGGAGCAGATAAAAAAACTACCATAGTTAAACTAACCAGGGGTGCCAACTTGAATAAAATATGGAGCGGGAGCCCCGCCCTGCATAATCGATCACATTACACGGGGCACACACACCATTTGAATGGCAATGCCCATCAATGGGGGAGGCAGTCCTCTCAAATATTTTTTTTTTGGGGGGGACGGAATCAAAGGTACCTTGGCCCCTCGGAGTTGGCTCCAATGAAACTACCCATCACTAGCTCGCTCTAAATGTAGAATCCTTCATACTACAGGAAGCGGACCCCTCCTTGCAACTTGAATGAGCGACCCATTGAACTGAGGGGGCTTTGATGCACAGGGGGTGCAAAGATGCATGGGCAACGGGGCACACAAAACTTCCCTCTTGCGCTCTGAAAAAGGCTACAGGCAAAGAGGAGGAGGAGAATGGGCAGAAGTTACCTGCCGCAAGGAGCTTACAATCTAAACCTCTACCACATATGATGGAGGAGCCCCTAGGAGCTTCCACCCACCCCGGCTTGCTGCCCCATGTTATTTAGTGGGGAGGCGGACTTTTCAGTCGAGGCACCACAGTTTGTTTGCGGGGCCTCCTGGTTATCCCGAGCAGCCTCCTCCCGTCCCTCCTTGCGGGTCCGGCCGGACGCCGGTGACGCCTGTTCGGCTGCATCTTGCCCATCACTGTGCGGACTCACCTCCTTGTTACCGCACCGCAGGAAAGACGGCAAGCTGAGCCACCCCATTGCTGTCTGTGCTCGAAGCCCGGAGTCTTTCGCAGACTGCTACCTCCTGCCCTCCCGTCCAGGTAGCTTTTATGGGGCGAGGCGGGCCGGGCCCGCCCTAGCTGCTCTCCTCCTCCACCTCTCCGGGAGGGACCTTACAGGTGGAACCGGGAGAAGGGCAGGCCCCTCCCCTCCCCCACCCGGTCATGTCCCGTCCCGTTTGGGCACAGCACGTGGGGAGGAGGCCGCGGAGCAGCGGAGCCGTCACCCGCCTCCACTTCTCCATTCAGGCAATTTGTCCCCCCCGCCCCAAATCGGAGCCTACCCCGGTCTCAGGAGGACAGGTAGCCGTTCAAACGTTCCTCTGACGCTTCCCTTTTCTTCAATGGATTCACGTCTAAGTTCACTTCCCATCCTCTCTGCCGCTCAGGCGTCCCATACTTCTTTCCTTACCCCCCCCCCTTACCCCCTTTGCTCATCTGCGGACCAGCCGCCCTTCCCGCTTGCCCCCTCTCTAGCAAGGCTTCCCTTACCCGCTTCAAAATTTTAACATGGATTTTTCACAACGGCGGCGGGAGCTTCCTTACACTAGCCTGGTCCACACGGGACGTTGAACAGGAGTCCAAGCTGCCTCGGTTATTTATTTACTTCTTACATTTATGTCCCACATATTGGTCCCCAAGGAGATCAAGGTGGCCTGCATGCTTCTCCCCTTTCTCACTTAAGCCCAGCAACAACCCAGTGAGGTAGGTTAGACTGAGAGGCAGGGACTGGCCCCCAGGGTCACCCATCAGGAGCTTCACTGCTGAGCAGGCTTCAAACCTGGTCTTTCCCGTGTCCTAGTCCCAGAGACTCTAACCCAGAACAGCCCAACTTTTCAAACCAAGTGGGCCGAAAAAGTACTTTGACACAGAACCCATAGGTTGGACACTGCCCTGTTGCGCGGGGGTGGGGGTGAAGGCTGCCAAAATTTGATTCCCCCCCCCCAGTGTGCTGCCTTGTAACACCATACAATCAACTAATAATCTACTCCTGTATAAGATAAGTGTGCGCACTAATGTACATAGATGGTACCCTTGCTGAATAGCGCACATTAAGAACCATAGGCGTGTGCAGCTCAGTCGGTTTGTGTACACAGATTGTGCACTCATCTGGATCTGATGGTTGGTCCATCGACCCCAGTATCCTTACTGGCAGAGGCTCTCTCTCTCTCTCTCTCTCTCTCTCTCTCTCTGCCTGGAGATGCCTTTGGGGGTTGAACCTGAGACCTTCTGCATTCAAGGCAGATGCTCTGCCATGGAGCTACAGCTCTTCTTCTAAGAACAAAACAAGGTACTAGTCCTCATAGTTTTGTATTAAGGGTGGATTTGATAAGAACATAGAAACCTGCCTGGTACAGAATGAGATCGTTTTGGGTACAACCAGCTCAGTATTGCCTGCACTGACTGGCAGTGGCTCTCCATGGTTTCAGGCGGGCGACATTCTCATCCCAACCTGCAGAGGCCATCAGATGGAACCTGGGCTCCACCTGCAAAGTGGGTGCTCTGCCACTGAGTCAGAGCCCTGCCGAAGGCAAGAGCAGGGGGCGTAGAGCTTCTCCATTTAGAAGGCTAGAAAGATAAAATGTGTGCCTGATTCCAGGAAGGAAAAGTAGGCAGCAAGATGCTAAAGAACCATCTGTCCACTGAGCTTTCTTTTCAATCCATCATCAACTGCCTCTTTAGGACTGTTTTGGCATCTATTCCTCCATCTACTCCTCCCTTTCAGTTCAATTATCCACCATTCCATTCATTTTTGCCTGGCTCTTTATCACGGACTGCTGTGTGTGTATGAGAATGGGGGGGGGGGGGAGGGAGAGGGGGAGGGAGAGAAATGTCTCTGCTAACTTTTCAGAATCACAGTCTCTCTCACTTTCTCCCCTCTCAACCTCTATCCACACATTTCATTTTATTTGGAGCAATAACATTCATACATTTTGCAAAGTACGCTTTTCAGCTCCATCTTTTTTTTTAAAGGGAACCATAGGAGCCAACTCCTAGGGGCCCTGGGGGCTTTGGCCCCCAAGATAAAATATTTGAGGGGGCCAGGCCCCTGCAAAGTTGATGGGCATTGCCATTCAAATGGTCTTGTGTGTGCTGTGTCATGTGATCGATTATGTGGGGCGGAGCCCACCTGCGCCCCCATAATATTTTATTCAAGTTGGCACTCCTGAAGGGAAGCACACAAGGTCTGTGTTTCCTTGCTTTTCGAGTCGACTCCCACAGTATAGCTTTGCACTCTTGAACAGTGCAAAGCAGGACAGCATTTCCATCTGAGGGACAAGCAAAGCTAAGCTAGGAAAAAAATGAGATTGCATTGCTTGGATAAGATGTTTGCAGTCTAGGGAGCAAGTAGTGGACAGGAGGACAAAAGAGTTTTAGCTCCCCCACCCACAGCCAAATCCAGCTGAACAGAGCCTCTCCTACGGAAGGGCTTTAAGAAGACCAGAAACAGTTGGAAGGGGAGGAGTTTGGCGGCAGGGATTCTTTTAATTTTATTGCTTCTTTTTGCATGGCTTTTTATGTATTTCGGTATTTTATGTATTGCAATTCTGCTGCTATTTTTATTGATTATAATTTAAGTAATGGTTTATTGTAATTGTTGAGAGCAAATTTCCATTTAATTGTTATTTGTTGATACTTGAGTGTTGATTTTGTTGTGTACTATAATAATAATCATAATTATTTGTACCCCGCCTCTCTGACTGGGTTGTCCCAGCCACTACATTCTAATGGATTATTGAATACTACATTATTTGATATGTTGTTTATTTTAAGTCATATTTTTGGTATGACTTGTATTGGATTAGATGGTTGTAAGATGTGTGATATTTGTTGTATATTTCCTTGTTTCTTCTGTCTGTAAACTGCCTTGTTGTGTAGCAATACAGAAAAGCGGTATGCAAATTATAAGTGAAATGAAATGAAGGTTGTTAAGAGTAGGACCTGGGAGACCAGGGTTCAAAGGTGCCTCTCATCCTAGTCTTCCTCACAGGGTTGTTGTGAGGATAAAATGCGGAGAGGGAGAACCATGCATTCCACCTTGAGCTCCTTGGAGGAAAGGCAATATAGAAACGGGATAAATAAAATAAAATAAATATTGGGAATGTGATAGGTTTTGCCATGGTTTGAAGAACACATAAATCCGGTGGGGGGGGGGAGGGGTTTAAGTAGAAAGGGTAAGGCAAGTGAAGGATAGCTGCCAGTTCAACATTTCTTCATGCTTCTTCTTTCATTCTTTGCAGATCCAGAACTTTTCCTGCACCCACAGAGTTGCTGTGCAATGCAGAATTTCATTCACTCTGAACTAACAACTCTCCAAGGTGTCTTGCAATGTATCTGGAAAAACCAAAGTCACCATCACAACAGCAGCTGGAGCAATAAAACCAAGGAAGGTAGGTTGACTCATAAGGAGGTAGAAACCAAAAACTGAAGACCATTAGAGCAACCAGAATGGCACAAAAGAGTGTGCAAGCTTTTGAGTTACCAGGAAAAGTGGGTAAACAAAGCAACCGGGATCTTTTGTGGGCGGGAGTGAGGGGCGGAGATGAAGCTGTGAGTTTGCAACAGGGAAGAGACTTACGATGGAATGTGGGAGGAGATAGCAGACATTAGAATGAGGTGCACCTGCGTGTGGTGAGGTTTCAGGGTGCACAAAGGGCTGCTGAGAAATAAGAAGGAAAAAGGGAGGGGTCATAGGTCAGCAGCAGAGCACCTGCTTTGCATGCAGAAGAATATGCCAGGTTCAGTCTCCAATGGCATCTCCCCGTAGGGCTGGGAGAGATCCCTGCCTGAAACCCTGGAGAGCTGCTGCCAGTCAGTGTACGATACTACTGATGGACAGCTTCCTGTGTTCCTAACGTACAGTGACCGACTCCCCATCTGTGGGAATTCAAAAGAAGAAAATTACCTTGATCCATTGCCACTCTTAGGAACAACACAGGTGTCTTGGAACAGGTCGGAAACAGGAGTGAAGAGGAACAAGGCAGTAGTTATGTCAAGCAGGTACAGGCTAATTTTAGGTGCCTGAGATTGCTTTATTCCTCTTACCTCCTGGTCCACTTTCCCTTGTGTTGTGTTGTGTTTGCTTAGATTATTAGCCTGTGAAGGGACTGTCTTGTTTTGTACGTAACCTCGTTTGGGAACCACCCCCCTGCCCAATGGTATAAAATCCTTTTTCCAGTTTAGAATTTTGCATCCGAATTGCTTATTTAAAAAAAAAAAAAATTCTTAAGTCGCATAAAAAGTTAGAATCTAGAATCCATTTTGGGGCACTATCTTTATTAGGCCACCAAAATGTCACAAAGGATAGGTCCGGATATTATTAGTATTGTTGAGATCTGGAAATGGCCTGTCTCCAGATTTAAGGACTTAATAAGAGCATTGCTAGATCAGCAAACGTTAAGCAAGTTGGTGTTCATCATCATCATCACAGTCATCATTTTATTATTTATATCCCACTCATCTCACTTGGTTGCCCCAGCCACTCTGGGAGGCTTCTAACAGATATTAAAACATCATACATTAAGAGATTCCCTATACAGATCAGACCAAAATACTTCTTTCCTGCACTTACAGTATCTTTTTCAGACCGTGGTGACCAGAAATATGTACTCTATTCCAAATGTGGCAGCACCATAGATAGACATTGCAGTACTGACAGTTTCAACACACTGTACACAAATGTCCCCATTTAGAAGTCAAGAAGAAATCTTTTGATTGCCTCAATAGCTATCAGGGACGCAAACTTGGGTCTCGGCTTATAGGTGCCCAGCATATGTGACATGACATCATGATGTGACATCGTGATGTGATGTCATGATGTCACACACCCCGTGACCTCAGAACCTGACTTCCAATGCCACCGAAAGTCAGGTTCCAAGGTCTCGCAAGGCCTTTGATAGCATCTCCAAGGTCTTGCAAGATGCTTTGTGAGGCCCCCAGGGCTCCCTATAGTTGGTGCCCCTGATACCTATGTTCTTCCACTGTAGAAGGAAGCATGCCTCCAAATATCAGTAGCTGAGGTCAAAGATGTGAGGTGAGGATAAATTCAATCCAGTTCAGATTTTAAGACATCCTTCAGAATTTGCAGCTCTCCAAATTTTGCACTGTGGTTTTCCTACCTACCAAATGACTACAAGAATCGAAATATTTGGGGAAGTTGCGCATAAAAACAAATATATTAGTGAAAATAGCATACAAAAAAATGTAATATATTAAAGAGAAATTGCCTGCATGCATGTGTGAATGAGTCAAAACTGCATACAAAGATGTGTTTCTTAGGAGAAATTTGCACTAAAATGCTGAAGAATTTTCATGAGGGTTTTTTTGAAGGAAAAAAGGAAAAATCACAAATTGCTACAGCAACATGGAAAACTGAATTTAAGATTAGAAAAATGAGAAAACAGAGAGAACCAAAGCAGACAGGACCTCCTCTCACTAGCTGGAAATTGCAGGTGTACGGGTGCTGATGTGCTCATATCTTGCTTCCAGGCTTCCCATTGGAGTATCTGGTTGGCCACTATGAGAAGGGGATGCTAGACTTGATGGGTTACTGGCCAGATCCAACTGTCAGGCCCTTCTTGTGTTTTTATGCTTTCTGGTTCAGCTACATCTGTGCCTAACTCTGGCCAGTATACCTCGAAAAATGATAATGTGGGGCTGGGAGAGGGGGCAGAAAATAGCAAAAAACACCAGGGCCATTGAAAAGGTTGTTTCCTTCTCAATGGCCTTTGGAATCTCTTCCATTTATGAATGCATTAACCAGGGTGAAGTGTTGCTTATTAGTTTTCTCTAGGGAATATCCCCAAATGGCCAAGCAGTTTCCCCCCTTCAAATGGCCAGTTTTGAATACATTGGCACGGTTTGGGATTCTGCGCCCATGTCCTACAAGGTTTCTATATGCCGCAAAGCCAGATGGGCATGCCTGTTTCCAAAGGGGACGATGAGAATGCCTGGGATAGGATGGCCTACTGCGCAGTGCACTGCAGAACATAGAATAAATGTCTGCAAAATGCTTGCTCTGCTGAGTGACCAGGAGAAAGGGTCCTTCCTTCAAAACAAACTCAGAACAGGATGTTGAGTGTGGAACAGCATTCCTGTTGAGATTTAACAGGTACCTGCTACCTGCACTTCCCAGGTACAATTGGAATACTTTTTTTTGTTTTTTGTTCCAATGGGCTTTCTCAGATGGATAAATGGCTTTTAGTATTTTGTATGGTTTTAGTTCTGTTCTACATGTATTCGGTTGGGGATTTGCTGTGTTTGTAATAGTTTTTATTGTACATTGCCTTGAGACAATTGCATAGAAGATTAATGAATAAATGCTAATGATATTAATTACCCCACCATCTGTCCCCTGAATGGCTGCTAGAGGCCACTCAACACACCCTCATTCAATGCATTCCACTCACCATTCAGGAACATTTATCTATGTTCATCTGGCGATCCAAAATCTCAACCCTTTCTAATGTATTTCCATGGCCCTTTGGAAGGGCCATGGAAATACATTAGAAAGGGTTGAGATTCTTTTTGTTCTGGCCATTTGAAGACGGTCCCTAAGAATCACCAAGGACACTGGGCCAATCACCACCCTGATGGTGGGAAGCATGTAGCAGTTGGGGCCTGGCATTCCTTTGGCTATTCAGAAGGAACCAATGTATTCCATTTGCTACTCCCTGTTATTGGCTTGAATATCTCCCCAAGGGAAAAGCAAAGGCATTTGGAGCTTTGGAGAAGGGTGGGTGGGTTATAAAAACCATGCGTGGTGCAGAGAAAGCAGGCAGGGATCATTTTTCACCACCTGCCTCTTATGCCACTAGAACTCAGGGGCCACCCAATGAAACCAGCCTGCAAGAGGCAGAGAGCAAAGCGAAAGGGGGCACAATTAGCTAGTGGAATTTGTAGATACACAAAAGTGGTTTAAAGAGGGCTTGAAGGAGGGGATCGTTATTCTGTTGTGGTTGTTACAACCTTAGGTCTGATCCCGCAGGACTCTTCAAATTTTCTTACTAAATTCCCTCCTTTCAAAAGCACAAGAAAAGGAAAACCTTCTGCAGAAAGCACCTTGATTCATGACAATTTTGGGCTTTGAATGCTTTTGGGGGGGCACTCAAGGCTGCATGCCACACCTGGTTTGGGGCTAATCTAGATGCTGTATTAGCCGTATATGTATATAACCCCCCCCCCTTTTTAGGTGATCTCCACCACATTTTTGGAATGATGCAGCCTTGGTTGGGGCTCATGGGAGCTGTAGTCCAAAATATATGAAGGGCACTAGGCTTGCAAGGGCTGCTACAATACAGTTTTCAAGTCCATTTATTGTAAAATGAGAAATAATGGAAATTAAAGTAGCAAGCCTCGTGACCATCAAGGGCTAAAACTAATAACCTTTGCAGCATAAATCTGCCAGAATAAATTTTAAGAAACAGATTAAATTGGTATCCAACTGTATAACAAAATATATTTATATTTACATAAGGGAACCCTGCTGGGCCAGACCAAAGTCCAAACTAGGTCAGAATCCAGTTTCTTGCAAGTTGATGCATCTGGAAGAGACCATAGATCAGTAGCAGAGCATCTGTCTTGCATGTTAAGGCCCCAGGTGTGACCCCTGGCATCTAGGTTGGGCTGGGAATGTCCCCTGCCTGAAAGCTGCTTCCAGTCAATGTAGACAAGTACTGAGTGCGATGGATCATTGGTTGACTCAGCACATGCAATTTCCTTTGTTCCAATGGGATGCCCACAAGAGGGACTTAAGAGGACAATGAGCCCTCACTGTCATATGTCCACACCATTTGGTAAGCAGATGTAGACTGCTTCTGAAAACAGAGGTTCCATCATAACTCCTAGCTGCTCATTCATCTATCCAAAATTAAACGTAGCAATGGTTTTTCACTGTCAAACAAACAACAACAACGACATCATAAGCAGAACAGAAAGCAGCAAATGTCCGGGGGGAGGATGCAATTAAGGCTGAGTTTTCACTACGCACCAAAAGCTACACAGCAAAGTAGCCAAGGCAGGCATCACTTGGGAGATAGGGTTGTAATAACAATAAAAGACCTGCTTCTTGAGTCACCCACTCAGCTTCCCACAGGTGTTTGAGATTCATGCCCTCCTGCCCAGAAGTGCACAAGGCTATCATTTGCCAATAATAACAAAAGTGTTTTCTGAAGACTAGCCCTAAAAAGAAACCAATTTGCTCCAAGCTATCATTATTACAGTGGTACCTTGGGTTACATATGCTTCAGGTTACATACGCTTCAGGTTACAGACTCCGCTAACCCAGAAATAGTACCTCGGGTTAAGAACTTTGCTTCAGGATGAGAACAGAAATCGTGCAGCAGCGGCACGGTGGCAGCAGGAGGCCCCATTAGCTAAAGTGGTTCCTCAGGTTAAGAACAGTTTCAGGTTAAGAATGGACCTCCAGAATGAATTAAGTTCTTAACCTGAGGTAGTACTTTATTTCAATTTATTATTGGCCCCTCAATGTAGGGTCTCAGGATGAACCAGTTAAAACTATTTTCAAACAAGATAATAGGGCTGGCCCTCCTATGAAGAGGAGGAGGAGGAGGAGGAGGAGGAGGAGGAGGAGTTTGGACTTGATATCCCGCCTTTCACTCCCCTTAAGGAGTCTCAAGGCAGCTAACATTCTCCTTTCCCTTCCTCCCCCACAACAAATACTCTGTGAGGTGAGTGGGGCTGAGAGACTTTAGAGTAGCCCAAGGTCACCCAGCAGCTGCAGGTGGAGGAGCGGGGAAGCGAACCCAGTTCACCAGATTACGAGTCTACCGCTCCTTACAACTACACCACACTGGCAAGATGAGGCAATTGCCTTGGGTGGCAGGATCCACAGGGGCAGCAAATCTGGCTTCCAAGAAATGCATCACCCACTGCTGCTGCCACTTCCATAATGTGGAAGTGATGGCTGTGGTGACTCAGCATCCTGTTTGGAAGTCCCCCCACCCCCACTTCTCTACAGTGACCTCTTGACAAATAGGAGACACTACTGGTTTCCTCCCACCCTAGGGAGGAAATGATGGGAGCTTCCCTCTGGGGTTTCCAGGGGTCTGCACCTACTAGGTGTGATTTAAAGCAGGCCGCCACCCCACAAGAGCCTTTGATTCTCACTTCAACTGTCAGGTAAGCCTGATTTGATTCCACTGCCCTTATTCCCAATGTAGACCTTCACTCACCCCCCTTCTTCCCTGGAGGGGGCCCACCATTTTGTACTTTGCCTCAGGTCCCAGATGTCTTGGTTCGCCACCCCCCTCCCACACACAGCAGATGGGGCTCATCCACCTGGGAAGGGAGCCCATCTAGGAGAAGGGAAACCCTGATCTTAAACCTCTACTGCCTTGCAAGATATCTTCAGGAGAAGAAAAGGCTAAGGAGTAAACCTACAGAAATTTGGAGACCCTAAGAAGGGTTGGGTGGCGCCTTGTACGTCACCTTCCGGCAACTCCTGCAGCCAAGCTGGTGCCAAACGTCTTGCTCTGCTTTCCTTTGGACCATATCAGTGAGGCCAAGAGGGAGGGGTCTTGCCGTCTGGGCAGCCCAGAACCTCCAGACACACTGCCCAAGCTTGTGCCCCTGAGGGGTCACCTCAGTGCTGCTAACACAGCAGTTTGAGTTCCTCCACAGAGGCATGGGGAGGAAATTCTACTGCTAAGGAGCTGCCACAGAACAATGATATTGAAACTCTACTCCTCAGGTGGATAACAAACAGCCCTTAGGCTTATAACAACCCCAGGCTTGGTGGAAGGTTTTTGTTATGATTATTTTCTTAAAAAAACAGCAAACACTCTATTGGCATCTTGCCTTAATGATTATGGAAGGCTCCTCTGAGATAATCTGTATTTACTTGGCAACACACCCTGATGCCAACCGCACTGTGCAGTCACGTTCATCCCTGCTTAGCAGGATGAAAGTATATTTTGCAATGTTAATGATGTCATGCTACTGTGGTGTTTTGTTTCTTTCTTTTTAAAGGTGCAAGCACAAGGTGCCCAGAAAGCAAAGTGTCAACACTGCATAGGGGGTGGGTGAAACCTGGGTGTCCGGGAGATATTTACCGTACATTATTTCCTTCTTTAAAAAAATATAACCAGTGTGTGTAACTAGGCTGGCAACTGCAAGGCTATGGTGACTGCTGTGAAACAGACTTCTGGCATTTTCTCTGGGTGGAGAGGGGTGGGCTTGGCCTTACAAGAAGGAGTCCGAAAGTCAGTTCAAGCAGGATTTGGAGTTATGGGGGTGAGGAGGAATCAAGCTGCTATTATTATTCACTTTCTACACAGTTGTCTCAGGCAATGTACACTAGAACCTGCAAAAAACAACCTAGTTAGAAATATAAAAAACAGCAGATTTAAAACATAAACAAAACCATACAAAGTATACAACTCACAGTGAAGACCCATTTATCCAGCTGGGAAAGACTGTTAGAACAACAGCAGCAAATGTCCTCAGTTGTTTTTGGAAACTCTGGCGGTTAGAGTACTGGGTTGAGACCTGGGAGACCAGGATTCAAATCCCCACTCACTGGGTGTGACCTTGGGCCAGTTGCTTTAGCTCCTTGGAGAAAAAGGTGGGATATAAATGTAAGCAAAGAGATAACAAATAAATACGTGTTTATTCAGAAGCAAGCCCCAAGGTGCTCAGCGGATGTTATCCCCAGGAATAGTTGTGTTGGGATTACAGCCTTAAATCCATGTGATTGGCAGATTAACCAGCCAATTAAGTAACAAAATGTTTAGTCGATTAACTGGGGGAGGCCAGTTCCAAGCTGCAAGTGATGCTGAAAGCGAAGGGGAAAGCTTGTTGTTTCTGTGCCATGGAGTTGTGACATTTAGGAGGGGGGAGTCCCCACCCTTCTAATAACCAAACATGAATGAGAAAAGGAAAATTCACAATTGATTCTTCTCAGAATAAGTGGCAGCTGCTGTTTATAGATCTGTAAGTTATCTTTCCTCACTCTGTAACACTTTCCCCAATATATTAGTTAAACTGTGGAACTCACACCCACAGGAAGAGTTAGTTATGGCCACCAACTTGGATGGTTTTAAAAGGGGGCTGGACAAATTCATGGAGGAGAAGGCTATTGGGGGCTGCCAGTAGCTTCTAGCAGTGATGGCCGGGCTGCACTTCCACAGTCAGCCTCTGGCTACCAGTTTCTGGAAACCACAAGTGGGGAGAGTGGTCTGGTTCTCTGTTCCTGTCTCCAGGCTTCCCTGGTTGGCCACTGTGGGAACTGAAAGGTGGACTAGATTGGCGCCCGTTGGCCTAATCCAGCAGGCCATCTTTGTGTTCTTATGCTTAGGAGACCTTTGTATCAGGGGTTTCAAAATAGCACTTTCTTTTCTTCACTGCACTGGAACCTTCTGCCCTCTTGCCTAGGACAAGAGACAGGTATGCCAGCCAACTTGTTTCTGTTTTCACCCAAACACTTTCAGACAGGTTCTCATCCCTCAACTTACAGGTGGAAAATGCAAGATCCACAGAGTAAATCAACTTGTAGGGCAAGTCTGCCCACATGCCACTCATGGAAGCGAGGTGTCCCTTAACAGGAAGTCTTCCCTGAAAAGTGCTGGCAGAAGCAATGAGTGCATGCCAGGGACTTAGATGCCATTGTGGTGGAGATGAGTGACTGTCTTACAAGACCAGGCTGGGCACCCCGTCTGACATATGTGAGAGGCAGCTCTTACACAAGCAGGTTGGCAGAAGGAGAACACCCAGGTCAAACAGTATGTGTCAAGAGGTGCTGCCCAGGTGATGGAATTGCAGAGCTGAGTGACTGTCAAAGCAAGGTTAGTTCAACACAGAGAGCTCCAAGTTGCTTCCAGGCCAAATGGGTGTGCCTGGCATTCCAATTGTCGTCCAGACATAGTTTCAGGAGTTACCTTAAGCAGAACAAAGGCACATGTGTATTCGGACTCTGACCAAAGATAACCCCAGTTCTGTATCACCATCAATTTTGTCAACCTGGGATTTTTTTTATTACAGTGGTACCTCAGGTTACAGACGCTTAAGGTTACAGGCGCTTCAGGTTACAGACTCCGCTAACCCAGAAATAGTACCTCGGGTTAAGAACTCTGCTTCAGGATGAGAACAGAAATCGCGTGGCGGCGGCAGCAGGAGGCCCCATTAGCTAAAGTGGTACCTCAGGTTAAGAACAGTTTCAGGTTAAGAACGGACCTCCAGAACAAATTAAGTTATTAACCCAAGGTACCACTGTACTCATATTGCATATTTCTGTGTAATTTACCGTATTTTTCGCTCTATAACATGCACCCGACCATAACACGCACGTAGTTTTTAGAGGAGGAAAATCCGTAGGCATGCCACCCGTAGGCATTCCCTCCATAACACGCACAGACATTTCCCCTTACTTTCTAGGAGGAAAAAAGTGAGTGTTATGGTGCAAAAAATACAGTATTTGGCTTCTCAGATTTAATGAAATCTATGAATATGTGTGGGTGGGAAAGACTTGGTGGTTGAGCAACTACCAGGACCGTGATGCAGCACAGCAAGATCAAGCAGGGGTTTTGTTGTTGTTTTGTTTTGTTTTTTAAACCCTTCAGGAATGGGGAATTTGTAGCTCTCCAAATGTTGCTGGGCTACAACTCCCAGCCGCCCTGGACATTGGTCCTGCTGGCTGGGCTGATGGGAGTTGTGATCCAACAACACAGAGAGAGCTAACCATCCCTGTTCTAACTCTAACTCTAATGGTGCAATGTGCACCATTGGGTTGGCAAAAATGCTAAAATTGTGCTATATCAGTTACAGGCACACACACCCCATTCACACACATTCAGTATGTGTGCAACTGCGCACATGTGCATAGTGCGTAACCTGGAAGTGACCTGCTGTAAACTTCACAGAAAGGGGCAGAGTGAGGGTGGACTTTTCCAGTGGTATTTCAAATATATGCGATTTCGCTTAAATGCACAGTACCTTGGAACGTAACCCCTGTGAAAATTGGAAGCTGCCTGTACTCATTTTTCCAACCTTAAATTTAGTTTGTGGATTTTTTGAAGTCCTCGTGGAAATTCATCTAATTTTAGTGTGAATTTCTCCCAATATACAAATGTTTGCATACAATCTTGCCTAATATGGACATCTTTGCAGAGCAGTGCTTATTATTATTATTATTAGCCCTCCCTTTACCACGAGGTATCAGGGGCAGTTCTCTGACTGGAAGAAGTAGAAAGTGGAGTCCCATAAGGATTGGTATGGGAGCCTGTGCTTTTTAACTTGTTCATAAATGATCTAGAGTTAGGAACAAACAGTACGGTGGCCAAATTTGCCGATGACACTAAATTGTTCAGGGTTGTTAAAACAAAAAGAGATTGCAAAGAGCTCCAAAACGACTTCTCCAAACGGGTGGAATGGGCAGTAAAATAGCAAATGCAATTCAGTGGAAACAAGTGTGAAGTGTGAACACATATGTGCTAATGGGATCTGAACTGGAAATGACAGGCCTTCATATGAGATAGCTTGATGAAGATGTTGAGCCAGTATGCAGTGGCTGTAGAAAAGGCAAATTCCATGCTAGGGATCATTAGGAAAAGAATTGAAAATAAAACGGCAGATATCATAAATGCCATTATAGAACTCTATGGTGCAACCACATTTGGAGTCATATGGACAGTTCTGGCCGACTCACCTCAAAAAGGCTATTCTGGAGTTGGAAAAGGTTCAGATAAGGGCAACTGAAAAATAATCAAGGGGGTGGGGGTGACTCCCCTCTGAAGAAATGTTGTAGCATTTGAGACTTCTTAGTTTAGAGAAAAGGTGAGTAAGGAGCAGCATGACTGAAGTTTGTGAAATTATGCTTGGCATGCAGTCAAATGCATGGAGAAAATGGGTAGAGAAAAGTTTTTCTCCCTCTCTCATAACACTGGAACTCGTGGACATCGAATGAAGCTGAATCCTGGAAGATTTAGGAAAGATATAAGACAGTATTTTTTCCAAGCAGCAAATAGTCTAAGTGTGGAACTTGCTCCACCAGAAGGCAATCAACTAGGGTGGCTTTAAAAGAGGATTGGGCAAACTCAAGGAGAAGAAGGCTACCCATGGCTACTCGCCAGGAGGGCTATGCTCTACCGCCACAGTCAGAGGCAAAAGTGCTTCTGGTTGCCCTCCTAGGGAGGGGAAAGTGCTCCTGTACTTGAATCCTGCCTCTGGGTTTTCCACTGGGGCATCTGGTTGGCCACTGTGAGAACAGCAGACTCTCCAAGTGTCCCTATTTTCCAGGGATGTCCCTGATTTAGAGAAGCCGTCCCAGTTTCTGATTTGATTGTGGAATGGGACATCCCTATTTTCATTGGAGAAGTGTTGGAGGGTATGGAACAGGATGTTGGGCCACTTGCTTGACCCAGCAGACTATTCTTATGTTCTTGTGGCAGTTACAACCATTACAACACAATGGCTAAGGACAGTTTAAAACAACTTACAGCCACAGAAATAAGGCGAGTCCTGAAATAGACCACGAAGGGGCCTACAGATGTGTCTTTAGCATCTTTCCACGTTATTTTAACCAATAGTACATTTTAGGCACACTTTACCCAAGTGAATGTGTTTTTATACACATTACTTGGCTAGAGAAGTGCACTGCAGAATTTGGAGAATCTGGATGGAAAGCTGTGTTTTGGATCATGTGCAAATCAGGCAGATTCGCCTTGGAATGCAAGTGAGACTGATTTCTCCCCATCCTTATCATCCTTGACATCAGCCGAGTTGAGCATTGTTGGACTTGGCAATGATACAGAGGAACAGGCTGCCCCTGTCTTGGGTTTCTGACGCTGTGATAGAAACCCACAATGGAGATGGCGCAGCAGAGGAGGATGCACAGACCGCTTTGCATTACGGTGCAGAACATGTCTGGGTTCACTGGGATTAGAGATGGCAGCAGTGACCAACCCTTTTCCCGCAGCCAAAGGGCCCCTGCCTCCCATCTGGGGCTAGTGTGTCAGTGTTGGCTGTGGCCACTGCCAACTCCCACCTCACATGCACACATCAGAGCACCACAGTGACCAGCTGGCAACCCTCTCCTGTCAAATCCTCAGCAAAGGACAAGGGGCTGAGGGGACATTTCCTCCCCATCACAGCGCTGGGATGGGCAGAGTGCTTGAAATCTCTTTGCTCAGCCCAGTGCCGAGATGGGGAGGAAAACCGCAACCGCTCTGCTCTTCAGATGAGAGGCAACAGGACTTGCTGTTACTTGTGAGATACTCAAGGCCACTGTCGTCCACCTCCTTCTTCCAAAATTCCTGGATCTGGGCAGTGCAAGGATTCTTCCATGAATCATTCTTTTAATTTCCCCAGGCAGTTTCAGTTTTTGATTGACTCACATTCCTGGGAATGTTGAACCTTCCTCTTGTTCCTGTGCTGTTACATATTACATAAACAGCCGTTCAGCAGTTGATGGGGGAAGTTTCTCTAGGGTGTCTCAGTCCAACCATCTAGTTTCCAACACATTCCCATCTAATTGGGGGGTTGGGGTTGGGAATGTGCCAAAAAATACTTCTAAGGCCTTTGGCCGCAGAATGGGGCTTCCTAAACATTTCTTGAGCCTTATACATGCTGATGAGGTCTTCTAGGTTTCACTGAAGGTGAGGAGCCAGCCTACCGTCTCCTGGCGAGCGGCTCCAAATCTTTGCTTTCAGAGAAACAATAAATGTCACAATTCACGAGGAAATACTCAAAATGTAAGTCACTTTCAAAGGAGGTTAAATCGGTGCACATATGCTCTCTTTGACTTGCTCATAAATTCTGGTAAAATATTGCGGTGGCACATCAGCACAATCTGTTTCTTTTTTGAAACCTTTGTTTCCTGCTCTTCTGGTGCAAAAAACCAGCACACCGGGCGGCTTATGGCTTTTAACATTGCAATGACATTTGAAGCAATATAAAATAATTGTGCAAGGTGACAAGGTTGGTGTTTGAAAAAAGGCTAAAACATAAAAAGTCTGCCAGAATCCAACGGTCTTTGGGTATCGATGCAGGAGCAAGGTATATTTCATGAGGCAAGATGTTCCATAAAGTAGCTTGGCCTTGGCTAACCTGAGTTGTAGTCCAAAACATCTGGGGGGCACCAGGCTGGGAAAGGTGCTGAGATATGAATTTTATTGTGGGAAGACAGAAGCTAGTGGCTCACCAGGTATGGGGCTGCCACTGAAAAGGCTTTTCTATAGAACATAAAAGACTTCCATATCCAGCTGGAATTTGCTCCATTTACCTGTGTGGGTGGATGTGTGAAATCTCAAGGCGTTCAACATGAGCAAATGAAGTCATCTTACCCTTTTGAGTCAGATCCTTGGCACATCCAGGCCAGTATCAGCAACACTGAATGGCAGCAGCTCTCCAGCATCACAGGCAGCCATCCTTAGATGGTGGCTTAACTGGAGAAGTGCACTTTTTCATGAAATGCTTCCAATTTCCTTCTTATGGTCCTCAGTGCATCCTCTGACTTGTGTGGTTAACAGAGTTGTTTTTCTGGTGATGCAACCATTTTTATTTTTATTTTTTAAAAAGTATCAATCTAAACTTGCCTAACTAGAATTGCAATACACAGCACGCAAACCTGTTCAGCAACAGCAACCTGCATGTGGTAGAAACTGAGGCTATAAGTCAATAGATGCTTTATCCTGCCAGATTATTTGCCAATGTGACTGCTTCCTTTTGTGCTCCTTTGGCCACCTTCCTTATTTGTTTTTATGCAATACATGTTGAAGAAGAGTTCCCCCATCTAGGAAAATTATGGACTCCTTTGCAATAGTCATCAAGTGTTTGCGAGAACATGCTGGTTTCTCGCTCCCCACCCTCCCCCCGCCAAACCCAGTGAATGCAGATATGCAAAGTATGTATAGAAATATCTCAGCTTGCCAATACAACATTTGCATTCAAAATTAATAGGGAGCAAGCTTTGGAGTTCACCAGCACTCTTCATCAGACTGTATGGGTAGCCAACATGGTGTGTTCCAAATGTTGTTGGACTACAAACTCCATCAGCCTCAGCCAGCATGAGCAGCCATCAAGGAAGATGGGAGTTGTAGTCCAGCATCAACGTCAAGGCATTTTCACTTGACAGAGTTCCAGAGCAGGGCAATGAAATCCTCACCCCCACATCTTGTGGAAGGGTACCACGTCAGCTCTGTGGGGTTCAGGTTTCAATTTGTTCTGCCTTTCAGGAATGCCAACTTGAATAATATATTGGGGGGGGGGAGGTAAGCCCCACCCTGCATAATCAATCACATGACACAGTGCATGCACACTATTTGAATGGCAATGCCCATCAACCTGGGGGCCTCCTCAAATATTTTAGGGGGGGCAAAGATCCCCCAGCACCTAGGAGTTGGCTCCTATGCTGCCCTTAACATAAAAAGGGATGGCATGCAGAAAGAGGAGTCAGGAACTAAAATGCTGGAAAGTCTTCAGCTGGGCACTGGCTGGTCTCCCAAGCAGGTATCACATTAGTATGGAGAATTTGGCACTGGGTTTCAACAGTCAAGGGAGCATGGAAGTAGACCAAGCAGACAGATCAGTGTTGCTTCAGGGGAAAAATAAAAATAAATGAATGGTGCATTTCCAAAATAGACCAACCTAGAAGATGAATGGTGCCTGCCATGGCCAATGAAACCTGTCAGATCAGTTGACAATGAGTGCAAGATGGTTGCACAAGAGCAAGAGGAGGCATCTATTTCATCACTGTTGCACAGATTTCATCAAATTTTGCATGGAATTTTCAGTTTGGAGTCAGCTCATAATTTACTTCTTCAGAAGGGGACAAACTCTCAGGCCTTGTCTTCTGAGCCCAGGAAGGGGATATGATTCATTTTGGAAGCTGTCTGGTTTTTTGTGTTGTTGTTTGTTTGTTTTTGATTCAGGAAGGATGTCACAAGGTTACATGTACATTTCTATTGAAGTGTGAAATGCATACATTGTGTTTCCTCCAGAATGAGCTCCAAATGATTCAGATAGGGTCCCTAGGTGGGCTGCCCTTCCTTCATGACTTTTATCAAGGATGGGCTAACTCAGGTTTCAAACCCTGAACCTGAAATCTCCTTGGAAGGAGGAACAGGGGAAGCAGATTTCATCAGCGGCACCCTTGAGAAGCAATGTTGCCTAGGCTTCCGAGTGCGTTTCAGGCTGCCCCCCCCCCCATCACTCCCAAGGTTACAGGAGCAGAGCAGAAAACAAGCTAAACAACAGTTTCAAGGCTGTTTACCGACAGATTGGTTAGATCAAGATTGTGTGCATTATTTGCTGCTTTAATAATATCTGACATTTAGTGAGATAGCATATCAAATTTCTGCTCAAGCAGAGCTGGGGCTGCTCTCCCGTCCAAGGCCAGTGCCTGCCTTTTTTATTATTGTACACATCTGAGTCTCTGTCCTACTCCATTGTAGCAGAACTTCCCTGCCTTCTTGGTCCTTCATATTGCCTTTGGCCATGTCAGCATCTGAGGCCTCCTCTGAAGACTCAGGCAGAGCTCCCTCTACCTTCTTCCTGAAGATCTAACCTTGCTGAGGCTGTGTAAAACTTTTTGATTAGATGTCAATAGGATCCATCACGGGCGTAGAATGGGGGTGTGAGCCAGGCGCCCCTGCACAGTGTCCCATCCCACCCTGCCTGCTGCTGTGTCCCCAGTCCCCTCACTGAATGGCTGCCTGGCCAGCATCAGGGGGGATTTGCCCACCAAGAGCTGCATTGGTCCACCGGGCTCCACATGTGTGGGCAGAGGCACAGCCCTGCTTGGCTCAGGTGGCCAGGGCTGAGCTGGTGCACGGGCTCCATGAACCCTCTGCACCTGGTGGACGTGTGCTCAGCAGTGTTGGTGGTGATGGCTGGCCTGGCGCAGTGGCTTCTGTGGCACTGCCCAGCACACACGCATGTATCCCAGGTGTCAAAAAAGACGCAACACTGCTGGGATCCAGTCTGCATAGATTGGAGACAAAGAGCTATGCTGCCATTTTGCTTTCCAGCTAGCCACAGTCCCACCCTAGGATTCTGTATGGCACTGCAGACACTCCATTGTGTCAGGAGCAAGGAGCCATCCCTGGAGGACACTGTACCCATCCACCAATGACACCAACAGCTGTCCAGAGTTCTGGGTGGGGTAGGGGATTAAAGGGGAAGAAATGCTGGTCTGATGTGAATGGTTTTTGGACTAGGGAGAGGTTGAGGTTTTGTTTATTAAGTAGAGAGCCTGAGTGTTGCTTTTATTATTATTAGGGTATGTTTTATATGGACATTGTGGTCTCAACTTGCTGGTAGTTAGAAAGACAAAGACCAGAGTTGGGGGTTGTGTGTGCAAGCTAGAAGCTGGAAGCAAGCAGGCTGCAGCCTGGGCAGCTGGGAGGCAGAGCCATGCCTGATTTCTGCTGGAATCCAAGACTGTGGCTAGGGGAGAAACAAGTCCTTCTGGGGTGTTAATGTTGTGAGCCCCTCCATCATAGGCTCCAGTGGTATATGTGTTCAAATAACCCATATATCATGAAGACACCCAGTGCCGAATTCACGTGTAAGCTAAGCAAACTATAGCTTAGGGCCCCACTCTCTTGGGGGGCCCCCAAAAAATAAAGGAAAAAAACCTGGATGTACATTTCCAAAATATAAGAAAAAATAAATAAAACCTACATATTTTGTTATGTGCAAATGGCTTGAGATACCTATGAGGTCCATCAATTACCATATAGCATATATTCAACACAAAAACCAGGAACAAGTTGTTGTTGACAAAGGACAGCTGGACATATAAAGGGCCCCATTACCTCCAGTAACTTTGGGCCTCATCAAACCTAAATCCAGCCCTGAAGACACCACAGTTGCCACTGAGCCTCATTCTTGAAGGAAATATGAACCCTGGGTAAGCACCTGGAACCCCTGGAATCTTGCACCACTCAAGAGATTATGGTGGCCTGCAGCTATACTATTCAAGGGATTCTGAATACTATAAAAGCCAGAGTAAATAGGATGGCCTTTCCCTAAAAGAGACGAGGATGGGCAGATCTGCATAGCTTTCAACAACCTGGCATGGCATCCCCAGATATTTTGCTTGGGGCTGATGTGAGTTGTCAAAAACATCTGGTTGGTGGAGCCTGGACTAGGGAAAAAGTGTGCCATGTATGGCAGCCTCCAGCAACTTGGTGCCCTCCAGAGGTTATGGACCACCATGCACATCAACCCCTGGAGGGCGCTAGGTTGGCAAAGTGTGGTTTGCAACTCTGTGTCCTGCAGACTCCATGGATATGTCGATAGATGCTATTAAACTACAGAATCTGATCTTTGAATCATTGATAAGGGAAAGGAACAACGAGGAAATGGAGATTAGTTTAGGGTAGGTGTGCAAGAGAATGTACAGACTTGCTGCCCCAGATGATAAAGAAATGGTGAATAAGGGTAAGGGCGTACAAAAAGATGCATTATCTGATGACAAAGATGATGAGACATTAACAGACCCCTCTCCACCAAGAGTGAGTTTGGGATGTTGTTGGAAAAAATAATATTTTCATAAAACTGTATTTTAGTTATTATGTTTTCTTTTGAGTCTATGGCCTAGCTAAACTGAAAGAGCCTGTACCTGCCTCTTACAGTACAGAACTAGCTGATTTTAGGTACTGTAAGTAGCTAATGTCCGTTACAGAACACTGAAAAGAATAAGCTGTTAGAATCTAAGGTGCACAAAAAAAGAATTAATCTTGTGATTAATCTTGAATTGTTTTGCAGACGGATGAAAGGTGACATTGGAAGACTTTTAACCAACAGGAAAATTAGTTAAAGTCTTAACAGAGAAAGACGCTGAAGAATGGTTAGATGTAATCACAGGATATTATGGTGAGGGCTGATCTGAAGAGTCAAATGACTTTGACTGGTCCAGGATGGTGACACTGGGTTGCAACAGCTAAGATTGCTGTGATCCTTTAGTATTGAATAGAAATGATGTGTGCAATCTGGAAGTGTAAAAACAAGAAAAACCCATGGCTTTGGATGTGGTTCTTTGCAGCCTCCTCCTTACTTTTGGGGCTGGCCCTGTTTGCATTTGTACAGTCATACCTCAGGATAAATGTGCTTCAAGTAAAGTATTTTCGGGTTGCGCTCTGCAGCGACCTGGAAGTAACGGAGCACGTTACTTCCAGGTTTCGCCGTGCACACATGTGCAGACGGTCAAAATGACATCATGCACAGAAGCAGCAAAATGCAACCTGTGCACGCACAGACGCACGGACACGGATTGCTTTCGCTTCAGGATGCGAACGGGGCTCCGGAACGGATCCTGTTCGCATCTCGAGGTACCACTGTATTTTAATAAAGGCCTATCTTCTCACTTGGAGCTTGCATCCTTTTCTTTTAGGTTTCTAGGAGGGATACCTCTAGTCTAGGAACCACTTTTTAAATTTATCCAACAATGTCTCTGTGGAAGTGCCCCAATACGAGACCAGGCCTCTTGAGGTGTGGCCCCCTACCTTTGGAGTGCTCTTCCCAGAGAGAATTGCCGGGTGCCATCTTTGTACAGCTTTTACATGATTCTGCTGGCCAAGGCTTTCAGTTAAGTAAGGGTTCCCTCCTGTGGTGTTGCTTGTGTTTCAGTCAGTGGGCAGGACATGGTCTGTATTAGTAGGTTGCTAGATGAACATTTTACCTACCATCAATGTTTTAAACTTAGCATGGCTTTAAACTGTTTTCAGCTGTGCTGTGTTTGATTTCTGTCAAGTTATTTTGAGACATTTGATTGCAAAAAAGCAACTCATAAAAGTAATAAATAATAATAATATAATAATTAATAAAATCACTATAAAAATTATATACAGTCTGAAGATCGCAGGGGAATCTTATATAAAACACTTAAATAAACTTATATAAAATATAAAGCTCTGTCTACTCCTCCTCCCCAAGAAACAAATATATACATTACATGTGCACCAGACCAGGACAAATCTACAATGTCCAAAATTTATAAATAAATTTATAAATATAGATACATTATTTCTTGCCCACCCTTCATCATAATGTCCCAGTGTGGATTATACCAACATACTGCACAGTTAGGAAAACAGGTAGAACTATTATAATGATACAACAAGTAAAGACCATTCCAAGTGGAACAGAACAGTTATAGATGAAAGAGGGTTTCACAAAACAAGACACCTTTTCTGTCAAAGGCAAGGGTAGAGAGGGGCATCTCTTATATTGAAATCAGGCTCCATATACCTGCTGTGTATCTTGCAATGATGCCTAGAGAGAAGGATTCAAGTCTAGCTCTCTCTCTGATAATATAAATTTTAGGTACCCAAGTGCCTAAAGGAGTGCCTCTCCTAATACCTCCCATCTTGGGTCCTAGGATCAGAAGGGGAGACCCCAGTGGTGGTGGGTTCAGTGCTGCCTGCTGCCTGTTGACCACAGCAGGTCCTTCTCAGTGGTGGCCCCCCATTGGTGAAATGCCCACCCTGGTAAGGGATGTTTCTCTTCTTTTCCTCCCTTCTCTTAACATTCAGAAGGAATTTAAGAACATTTCTCTCCACCCAATCATTTGATGGCTCGAAGAAACTTGAAATTATTAAGTGTGAGGGTGTGCAACTGTTTGTCATTCTTCTTAGATACTGTAATTTTTAAAATGTCCTGTGGTGCATTTGATTTTTTTTATTTGTTTTGTTTTGTTTTGTTTTTAATTGCCTTGTTTTCTTACTTTGTAGTTTGCTGTCCCCAGCTCCTTGGGAAGGAAGGATGGGACAGAAATTTAGTAAAGAAAGAAAGAAGTCAAATTTTGTCTTCCAGAAAAGGAGCCTGCCCCAAAGATCCTTATCACTCTTGGGAGCTGTGCTGTTCCAAGTGGAAGTCTAGGAACTGATGTGGGACAAACCACACAGCAGTACTCACCAAATTCTAAAGGTGCTAGCCAGAAAAAGAATTACTCTGTGTTGACTTTGATGCTCTGCAGGAAAAAGGCAGAGGAGAGTCATTCAAGAACATGATGACGGCTCTTCATTTTGTGGTTTAGTATCTGGGCATGAACATCTAAGGTCCCTGCTCACTTGAGCATGAAGCAGACAGTGGTGCCAGGTGGAACATCATGTGGGCCCCAGGTGAAAAAACTTTCCTCTCACCTCAGCCCTACCCTCTGAATTACACACCAGTTTTTTGCTCCTGTCTGAAGCATGCCAACCCAGTAACCATATATAGGGATGTAAATCAAGCACCTACTTTGTTCCAGGCCTGAGCCTCTGGACCTGGCTCGCCAGTCCCGGTTCCTGAAGCATTATTCTGTCCTTTCTGGCTGAGGGTCCACAACCATAGCAAGCCCTGGTCCCACATTTTGGGGGGCAGAGCCTTCATGCTGCCAAGTTCTGGACTGCTGGAGGCTAAGAGGGAGAGAGGGAGGCCCACCATGCACTGGGTGACCCCTGGGTGCTGAGAGTTGAGAGCAATGCCTGCTTAAGCACCCAGCTGATGCACAGCGGGTGCCGTTCAACATTCTAAATCCCCACCCAGTAAGTGGCTTGACTAAAGGATTGCTGGCCAGTTCTAAGCATGGGCTTCTATGACCTTGGATCATGTTCGAGGGTTGTCTTTGGCAGGCGGGGCTTCATGTGGAAAACCCCCAGAAGATGTCCCATCTCCCAAGAAAATGGAACAGGAAATGCCCACACCACTAGGATCCTCTCCCTGCCACCTGACTCAGGTTCTGGCTAAATGGCACTCATGGCTCCCACTGGCTGGCTTCTTTGAAAAGCTTCAGCTGCATCTACCTTTATGACACCAGGTTTACCTCATTAGCTACTTCAAAATGAGCAAACAATGAAATTAGTCAGAGGGATGCCTCTGAGTAATGATTGGGTGTCCCTTCCTAACCTGTTGTCCTTATCCCCCTTCCATGAGGAAGTAAGATTGTTATTTAATGACACTGAGGGAATTGCTGTTCCTTCTTCCTCTAGTGCTTGACTTGCTAAGATCAACATTATTCTCAGTACAGACTTTCCACAGCAAACTTATTTTGGTTGCTGGGTTTCTGAGCTTTCCATGTTTCCTCCAAACTTTCCATTTTATTCAGCAACATAACAGCATTTTGAAATTTTGCGGTCAGATTCATGGCTTTCCAAAGGTTCTGAGTGTGCTTGGGGGAAAGGTGTTTCCCTGTAGAAAGTTATAGTGCTTGTCATAATCACCAGTCCAACACAAGTCCACTTCACTCTCTTTCAAGGTATGCTATTCCTACCCTCTATTGCACAAGCCCCACTCAAAATGGGGATGCCCCAAATTCTTCATGTCCTGCATTGTACAAAGAGCACTTAGTTCAGGAATGCATCAAATGAAGCCATTCAGAACTCACTCCACCCTTTCATATCTGCCACCAGCTGTAGAGGCAAAATGTACAGGACTAACATTCTTTGGCACTTGTTTGAGTGACAAAGTGAATTTACCTTCTGCAGTGTAACGTGGACTTAGTCATGAAGACAAACTAGTCATCTTAATTCCTCTGCACAAACACACACATACACCAAATCCATGTAATCTTACCTGCAGGAAATGTACAGCACAGCAGTGCCAAGTTCTAAGATTACCACACCTGACTTCCTCGTTTCCCTTGATGGGCACAAGCAGTCCAAACAGAACAAACATTTCAGGCCTCACAAGTCAAAACTTTGAGGCAGCAAAAAGAATACCATAGAATTCAGACTGTGATACAGCAAAATACAATATTAGAAATAAAAACTTAGTTAAAAAAAATACAGTGCCTAACACAGCACATTCCAAATGATAAAACAGGCAGAATAATTACTAGGTGGTCTGCTAAGACCAGCAGCACTTTTCAAGTGGTTCGTGGGGGGAGGGGGGTTTGGAGCCACATTAAAAAAGAGAAAGTGTAGTGGTTAGAGTGTTGGACTGGGACCTGGAAAACCAGGGTTGAAATCTCCACTCAGCCATGAAGCTTACAAGCCTAACCTACCACACAGGGATGTTGTGGGGATTAAAGGAGGAGCAGTAGAACCACCTTGAGTTCCTTGGAGAGAAAACCGGGATATAAATACAGTAGATAAAAAAAGGATCCCCGGTTTATCCTGGACTCCTCTAGATGATGTTTAACTGAGCATTTGCTGGTAGGGTGTTTCATTGGTCAAACGTTTGCCCATTCAATTCTCTGTTACTTGCCTAAATGCAGCAGCCTGCTTCTTTTTGAAAGTGCATTGTTGCACCAGGGTAACAGCACTTTAACCCACCTAAAGAAGGCAAACCTAAATCCTACCACAGAATTAAGCCACATTGGATCAATGGTCTTAAGCCCAGTGATTGTACCTTAAGAGTATCCACTGGGAACTAGAAAATCTTACAAACACAGGATTGCTGAAAGTGTTCTTGAGGACTCTCCATAATTTAGGTCCCAGGTGGGTAACATGCCTCCTGAGGCCCTCAGCCAAAGGGGGCCCATCTAGTCCAGCATCTTGTTCTTCCAGTGGCCAACCAGATGCCCTAATGGGAAGGGCACCCACAGGACTTGAGGGCAACAGCAAGTCTCCCCACTTGGGAGTCCCAGCAACTGATATTCAAAGGCAGATGGCCTCTGACCCTGGAGGGAGAACATGGCTATACTGGCTAGCAGCTGTTGAGATAGCCTGGTCCTCTGTGAAAGCCATTGAAGCTGGTGGCCATCACTGTCCCTTGGGGCAGCCAATTCCATGTTGTTCTTCAATTCCATGAAGAAGTACAATCCTTAGCATCTCCAGGCAAGGCTGGGAATGTCCCTTGTCTGGAACTGTGGAGAGCTTCTGCTAGATAGAAACCCTGAGCCAACTGCACCCAGAAACACGGGAAGCTGCCCTATACCAAGTCAGATGATTGGTGAATCTAGATCTGTATTGTCTACACTGACCAGCAGCAGTGGCTCTCCAGGATTCCAGGCAGGGGTCTCTCTCAGCCCTACCTGGAGATACTGGGGATTGAACCTCAGATCATTTGCCAGGTCTTCTACCAGGGAACTACTGTTGCTCCATTATGGACCAATGGTCTGACACAGCTGAAGATGGATCCATATGTTCTTCGAAACCTTTAAGAGTAGATCAGTATGCTTCCTAAAATGATTTGAGCTTCCCAGAGAAGCCTAATCTAATGAAACTGTTCCATCTCACAAATGGAGCTGGATCATCTCCAGAATTCTCAATGCTCTTATTATTGTTTTCCTTTCAGAAACTGTATTTTGTGTACTTCAAGTGACAGCTTGAAAACAAATGAATCACTGAGGCCTGGACCAAACCACTGATGCTTATCTTCTGTGCCCTATGGAGGCTCACTTTGGGCAAACATGTAAATGAGAAACCCCAAATTAGTGTAAATGTGATGTCATTCTTTCTGTTGGTAGCCACCGACTATGAATCAACCTTAATCATGTTTAGAGTAAGGGATTCTTTGGGCTCAAGCACAGCCTCAAGAAACCAGCATTTCCCTAGGTACTGCCACTAGGATTCTGACTCTGGCAACAGCCCCCTGGACTTGTTGCAGAGAGGAGGGGGCTCAGTCAGAGAGAGGATGTCTTGTCCAAGGGCTTTCTATAACCTGGCACTGACTGTGCAGGACACCTATGTTTAAAGCTTATTTAGCCCACTATTTTCTCCCAAAGAATCCTGGGAGCTGTAGTTTGTAAAGGATCCTGGGAATTGTAGCTCTGTGGAGGTAAACTATGCTTCCCAAGCTTCTTGGCAGGGAAACCATGTGATTTAAATCATATGGTCATTAAAAAAAGAAACTCTATAGATTTGTATAGAGTATAAGATGTAAACCATAAGTATCACAACCTGGAAGGATAAAAGTACAGAGATACAGCGCAGCTCCAAAGGGATAATAAAATGTTAACTCATACAAAGGTTCCCTTTACAAATAATAAAGATGCATAAAAATAAAAGTATTCTCCACCTTGAATTCCATCATTATTGAGAATTAAGGTTCTATGTGGTCTTAAAGGAACAAGACCTTTGCATATCATGGTGCCTATGAGAGCTCATCCGCAGGAGGAGTATTTCTGAATGTGCCAAAGCTGAGCATTCAGGACCATGGAAAACACAAGGTGCTTCAGTGCATGTTACACACAAGGGAACTTCAAGGAAGGCACAAGTGAAGTCACTCCAGGAGGAGACAGTGGAGCCCTCCACATCCTTTGCCCTTGTGCTCATGTGCCCAGGAAATGGTTGTTGCTGAAAGGCAACACAGGGAGAGCTGCACTGATGCTTGCGATGCATCCATAGTTATAATTATGCTATAACCATGAGATTATTTTAGAATCTTAGCAGGTTTGTAATCTTAGAAATTGCCTTGGCTGTGACTATTATGAAATGACTCTGCACGTCTGAATTTGCCACTACGCTACTGCTTCTGAGTTAACATCAGACCAGGCTGCTAATCACTTTCAAAATACATAAGGCAGATGTTGTGTTTTTAGGGTCTTGCTGCTTTGAGTTGGCTTACAGTAGCCAGATGGCATTAGGTGCACTGAAGCACCACAAAACAGTGGGTGGGAATTTTGAATCAAAGACCTCTGGGTTATTTTTATTTTGAAAAAAGAAAGTATATAGGAAAGGGACCAGAGTACTAAAACATGCACGAAAACTTTCAAGCACTCCTGTGATGCCATGTTTCCAAATCAGTGGATTCTATGATCCTCTTAGCAGTCATCTGCAGGCTGAGAACAGTTCAGGCCTCCAGCAAAGCATCACTGTTTGCCTGGCACGTGGAAGACTTTTTGTTCCACAATGGATACTAAGCAGATGAACAGTGAGAGGTAGATGGGCTGTTCGTCTTTCAGGCCAAAAGCTCTGAACCATGGGCACACACCTCTCAGTGTTAAAACACTGGAACCCATAAATGGCCAGAATTAAAACAGAGAGAGAATTACCGATGAAAGAAGAATGGAGGATGAAATTGATGGACTATGCAGAGTTTGATAAAATAACAGGAAGGATTTGAAACCTGCAGGACCAGAGATTCTCAGAAGACTGGAATAAATTTACGAAGTATCTGAAAAGCAATTGTGATGAACAGATTACGCTAGTAGGATTGCAAGAAGTTTTGTTAGGTGAACTATTTGAAATATTGCAAGAAAGACTATGAGAAGAATTATTAGTTAAAGATAATTAAATGTAATATAGAAATTAAGAAATGCAGAATAAGTGATAGAGAATGGGAAATCATCAGAGGTATTGATGGAAGTCTAGAACATTTTATAAGATGAGAAGTTATGTTGTATGAATGTTGGAATTGATATATTAAAAAATTAATAAAAATGTATATATGTGTGTATATAGATATAGATAGATAGATAGATAGATAGATAGATAGATATAGAATTAAAACAGAGATAGTAGTTAGTTTAGCTGTGAAGTGTCATGTCCTGATGGAAGTTCATTTGAAAAAAATAATCAAGAGAGAAACCAGATTAAGAGATTAAAAGAAGGAGCTTTTCATATTCACAATGTCATACAACTGGTTGGTTGATGAATGCTGGTATTTTTAGCAGTTGCCTGTGTTTTCTGTGACAGTTGTAAAACTTCTCCCTCTCTCATGGCAGTAGACCTCAAGGTCACAAAATGAAACTGACTGAGAGTAGATTCAAGGCAGGCACAGTGAAGTACTTCTGCACATGACACATAATTAATGCTTGGAATTTGCTGCCCCAGGAGTCAGTGGTGGCCACTGGTTTAGATGTCTTTAGTGTGGGAATGTTTTTATGTTTGGTGATGGACCTGTTGCA